CCCTCGGCCGAGCCGTCTACAGCGCAGGAAGACTCGGATTCGACTATACGTACTCAAGCCGACCACAAAGGTCGACTTTGTACTTCACCCATAAAATAGAGACATTGCGGACATAGCTGCATCAACCGACCCCACAGGTCGGTTGTGCAAGCCGACCACACAAGTCGGTTTCGGAAACGATAGCCAATCAGACGGCTGATTCACGATTATCTACCTTAGCCGACCACACAGATCGACTAAGTACATGGTAGCCGACTAACGAGAAGTCGACATTATGGCCGACCACACAGGTCGACCATAACGGCCAACAGAAGTCCAGGAGGAATGGATGGAAGCTAGCAGGAGTTACGTGGCAGCCCAGCCGGATTCTCCGTTTGAACCCAGACCCACAGGGACTAGGAACCTGTACCCGGAGTCCAACCGCAGTCTCCCCCGGATGATATCGGGTAAGCTAGCCGATTCACCGGTGACCACGACTACGCGCGCCTTGAACGTGCTGCCATTTCCTGAAGAGGAACAGCGACGGTGATTTGGCCGCCACTCCAACGACTCCGCCGCGACCTGTTTCCCCATGTCTCCCCAATGGAACATCCTAGGCAGACCGAGTTAGAACACTCGACCTGCACCCCCTTAACGAACGCCGATGACGATGACCACCTGCCCGCAACAGTAACGGCCAGTTGGCCAGCGTCACCGGTAAAAAAAAATTTCCCCGTGGACGTGAGTTGTCTACCCCCAACAGAAGCGGCTAGGCGTCTCAGGTTCGCGACAAAACAAAACGGAAGAATAGGATCTGACGACCTCAGGGACTTGCATGTGCATGAAGTTTAAAAACCAAAGAGCTCGGCTTGGCAACTGGGGCCACAGAGACCCTTAGTGTTGTAAGCGAGCACAATTGCATGACGAAACGCCAGTCACTCGGCCAACAGATGCCAAGGAAACCGTAACTGCGCGGGACTCGGCCGCCCAGAGGTATGACTAGCCAACAGAAGCTCGGATCCGACCCAGAGTTCATGTCAGGAATCACAGAAGGAACGGAGTTGTGCTGCTGAATATCCCTCTGCCAGCCAGAGCTGACCGTAGGATATCCGAACAACGGAGACCCGGTCAACTGTAGCCGGATGCACAGAACTCCTAAGAATAGACCATCAGGCTGAGGGCCTAACCGACCTTGAACGGAAGTCGGAAGCCACCGGACGGAGGTAGGAAGTGTACGACAACAGGTCGGAAAACCAATCAGAAACGCGAAATCGACCTCCCAGCGGAAGAACTTAGCCTTTCGGCGGATGAACACAAAGTTCATCCGACCTAGCGAAGTCGGACACAGCTGACCCTGGAATACCCACATGGATAACCGACCTCAAACGAAGGTCGGAAGTGACCGAACAGAGGTCGGAAGAATGCGACAACAAGTCGGCAAAGGCATTTGGAAGTCGAGAACCGACCTCCTAACGGAAAAATTCAGCCTTCGGACGGATGAACACACAGTTCATCCGACCTTCCGAAGTCGACCATAACCGACCTCAAGTCGGAAGTCGGAAACTTAGTCGGCATGACGGAAGAAGATAGATCGCTGTCTGCGGTGGACGAATTCGACCTGAAGGAGCTTGTTTAGCCCCACATGGGCATGTCATTGCAGGTTAACCCTAGTCGACCACCGACGGATAGGATAACCGACCTTGACTACAGGTCGGACGGGATAGCCGACCTCGACTGGACACTTCCACCGAAGAAACCCTTGAATTCCGATCGGACCTTCGAGCCAGTTCGACTCGGATTACTCCAAATCAGGCTCGTGGTAGCAGTTTGAACGGTTGTAACCGACCACATTTGAACGGAACTGCTGTACATGACGACCACAAAGGCCGCATGACTTACACACAGCTTTTTCCGACCTGAACTTTAGGAATTCGGAACATAGCCGAATTACCCCCGCCGCTGGTTGACTTACCGGTAGGCCGACCTTGGTCAAACCGACCTCGGTCCTATTCTCCATTCAGAGAGGATGCCTCGGCATTTGCAACCGCAACAGTGCCTCTCTACCCCGGACGGACGGATACGAGTCGGAAGTAAGTGTTTAACCGTGCTTATCCGACCTCGGTGAATGTAAACGGTTATTACGGGTAACTCGGGAACCGATGCCCCGGACCCAACTTACCGGACCAACGTGGACAGGAGACCCCGTGGAGACCTAGTTGCCCCGTGGACGTCATCCTAGTCGGAATAGGACCCCGGACAGATTTTTGCATTTTTTAGCATTTTTGTTTCTCCCTAACAAACGGAATTGTATTTTTCTAGTTCGATCTCTCTGACAGATCTGTTTTGTAACCTCTTGTGCTCACTGGAATTGTGATTAAACTTTTTTTCATATTTTCTTTCGCGCTGCATAAACTTTCATTACACTTTTTCTTTTCACATTGTTCTCCGATGCCAACAGAAGCAAGAAGCCAGCCAACAGATGCATCACCGGTCCAACGAAACGCCCGAGCGGCTTCCGGATTTCTCGGCCGTGAGTGGTTTCCACTCATGGGTTCGGACGTGAAGAAGGGACGGTCAACCGGACACCGGACTCCCACTGCGGAGGACGCATACCGGCGACCCCACATGGGTCCGACCGGAGAGTTGTGCGGTACTGGTGCGGTACCGAGTCGGAGCATCCTTCGCAGGAGCTCGGATTCCCGCCCAGAGGCATGTCAGAGGCGTACGACTGCGCCTGGTGCGTACGGTCCACATAGGACGTACTTGCACCCATTGCATGCCTTTATCGCCTCTCTCGCTGTACGTACGTGTGCTGCTGCACTGCACTCATCCGCTGAAGCGGATATACGCAGCGCATACACTGAGCCACACTTGCTCTCTCGTTCCTCTCTCGCAGTATGACTCAGCGTTCATACGCGCGCGTTGGATAGAGTCCAGTCTGCGCATCATCACACAGCTGATGGCACACAGCACGTGGTTGCCGCCAGCACTTCTTTCACGCCATCAGACGCTCAAGAACCTTGTTAGCATTCACTTGCTAGATTTAGCCATCAGTGCTTTGTTCTTGCTTTCCTGCTATTACGCAGCATTGTTCCCCCTTTATTTGTACAATAAAGCTCACTCGTGATCTCCTCGTGCTTGTCTGTTACGTGCCGCTTACAAAGGCACCGGATATCATTTGATTCCTTGTTTTGGAAATAAAATGTTCGTCCGTGGACTGGAATATGCGGACAGCCAAAAACTAAAATGCGCTATTCAGTCTGCTTATTACAGATATACCTATCTTAGAAACTTCTAGTGATTTCTTTTTTATTAAAATCATCTGATTATCTTTTGAGCGCATCCAAAAAAAATTACTTATATAAAGATGGCCCGCTGTTTAGTGGTGGAGGTCAATTACATTTGGGTAAGCGTTGCGCGTCGGGTAACGGGGAAACGCGTAAAAAATATGACGTAACAGCGCGTAAACAAGCAAACATTCTGATTCGCAGTCACAAAATCTGGGATGGGTTTTCAGCTTACTTGTCCGCGTAAGCGTTGCGCTTCGACGTCGAAGCGCAACCATTACCCAAACCACGAGTAACTCGTAACTCTCCTGCACAGATCAACAAAATGTGTGTGTGTTTGGACCAAAAGTAAATGCAACGACCCAGAGTCACATTCCAAAACTCATAATTAACTTTTTTGACGTAATACCACATTTACCACATTACAGCATTAAAAATGAGTTTTTCAGTTCCACTTCGGTGTTCAATTTCTTTCTTGGCGCGGAAGCGTACTCGACTTACGACTGGACGATAATTTTTTCGCTAAGTCATGGATGGTTTTTTACGCGTTACTCCGTTACCCGACGCGCATCGGTTGCCCAAATGTAATTGACCTCTACCAGTGAAAATAAACATTATTCATAATGGTAGTTGTGGTCCTTTGCCTACGCAGCGATACTAACACCCCAAAACACCTGCCATTATGATTATGCATATTTTATATAAAACGCCCTTATTCATGTAGCATGTAAGGCAGATTTGCCGAGAGTAGCGTGCATGCCAAAACCACCGGAGCTATATGAGGTACGGACGTGTAACGCATGAACTCTTCGTTGGATTACTTAGCACGTGGCCACAATCCCCGCTTTCCATGTGCCATTTATTTATAAAAGGCAAAATGCAGCAGCTTTCGCCCCAATGATTTAAGGAAACGAGTAGCATTAACAAATGCACTATCACAACAAAACCAACTTTTACCTGAAAAATTAAAAAATGGGAATAGGAAGAACTTAGTGCGCCTACAAATCAGAACATGCAGACAGTCGCGCGCTAGAACGATCAATCAACCTTAAAAAATAAGATGCAGGTTTCGTTGTGCCACTATTTTGTAAATGATTTGTACTACGTACGACAGCAGTACATATTTGAAGGCTCGTATTATGCCGTATGTGAAGTTTAATGTCTGTGACAGGCGACCGCAATCGAAGTTACGTGGTTAAAACTTAAAATTATGCCGTATCTGAAGTTTAATGTCTGTGACAGGCGACTGCAGTCGCAGTTACGAAGTTAAAAAAATATTGTTTTTCAACTTTTTACTGCAGCACCGTGGAATTTTGCAGCTATCGAGCAGTGATGAAAAAGTGATGACCCACCTGCGGTGGTTCGTGCTGCCTGAGTAAAATACATATTTTCGAAAATTTTTCATCGATTAGTGTTGTAAACAATAAGCTGCGCAAAAAAATTGTTTATAATAAGTAGATACGTACTGTACTTCAAAAAATTTAAAACGAAGTCGCCGTCTTCGTTTACATAACGAAGTCGGCGTCTTCGTTTACATCCATCTTCAAACATGGAAGATGAACCGATAGGTTGATCATTGTGCGTCCTGCCCTTCGCCTGGTTGCCATTAATGCGACGCACATCTAGTTGCTAACTGCATCCAAAGCTAGTTGCAAATTGCATCTAAAAACCTGTTATGTTATGTGATTCTGCACACGCGTTGAAAATGCTGAGTCGGAGAGATCAACTGAATTAAAATTTATTGAAAATTGAAAGGAAACTACATATCTGTACGTCAATTAAATGAACAAGGATAATCATTGCTGTATAATTGTGTCCTTTTCCAGCGAGTAAAATGAAAAACCCGGGTGTTTTGAAAGCGAGAAGTATTAAACAATAGCGTTCGCAAGCGTCTTTGCCGGTACAGATTGTTAGGTTAGCCTGGTCTGTGGCGAATGAGATCGCCGGCGTTAGCGTGGGCTCGGACGCGGCCAGACGTAGCACGATGTTGAGCGCTATCTTGCTGATTAGGTTGTCTGCCGCTATCCCCAGCAGGCGACGAGCTGCCGGACGGACGATTGGCATTATGGTTAGTATCCCTGTTGACAGGACGCATGTTTGAAGCAATAGTCTGGTTCCCAGGTGATCCGTTGATTCCAGTTCCATCCAACGCCGTACTTTGAGCGCTGAGAGCGTTTTGATAGGGACCTTTCTGGGCAGGAACTATGGCCAAAGGTGAGGACTGATTCCCGGTCGGCCCGTCGCCGTTAAGAACCGACTTCTGAGTACTGGAAACCAGGCTTGGAAGGCGGTACTAAAAAAGAGAAACCTAGCACAACTGACTACCGTAATAGGAACCGCCAACGAGATTTGAGTTTTATACGAGTACAGGTGATAGGTGAACGCACAGTCTGCACTTACCGTTGTGGCCGCAGCTACTGGCTCTGGAGAATGTGTCACGGGTGAACATATTCCCGTATTGTTAATGCTAGTTCTCATTGCCGGAAAGGAACATCGGCAGTACAGGGGGCTCCCGCACTCTTTTTCTCCGGTGCATGGTAATCCATCCATACATACACCACTCACACCATGAGCTGCAAAAAAAGTATAGTACATAAAAATGTGAAAGAAAATGATCAGTTGTCTTACTTGTAATAACTGTGGTTGAAGTGGTGGTGTCAAAGGCCACTGCTGCCGCAATATATACACTGAACTGAAATATAAGCGCAAATACATCGGCCAGACGCCCCATCGTTATCAACAGAGAACTAACTGTATTGCAATTACTTAAAAAATTTAATTCTGGACTAATGTTGCTACCATACCTTGTTCTTTTTAGTCGTGAGAAATCTGTTTTATTCCATTTTTTTGTCTGCCTAAGCGATTGTTCTCAGGCGGTTCCTGTAAAATGCCTTGTACTCTGTAGACTCGAAAAAATTCCGGGATTTTGCTGGACTGGTAATGCATTAACCGTGCGAAGCTTAGCACTTTTCAAGCGTTTCAGAACAGATTTCCTGCAATCCTCTTCGGAAGGATCTTCAATTACTGCTGATAACCTAGCTTTATTAAAAGTACCCGTAGCTTGCGCAGCAAACTGTGATCGGTATCCAGTGAAAATTCACGAAAAAGCACTGACGCAGAGGTATTGTTCGAATCGCATTTATCAAAACACTTCAGGACCGCATAACAGGGTATCTGTATCACTATATGTATAAAGCGGTATGTGTTTCAAGTCCGATATAACAGGAATATACATATACTGCGGCGTGCTGCATTCACGACATAGCAAAGTAAGAAAAGATTTTGTGTTTTATAAAGTAAAAAAGGTGCTCCAGAAATGAATTTTTTTGTAAAAGTATCCTACAATTTTTCCGGTTTAAAAAAATGAAAGTTTCTTAAGAAAATTCAAAATTCATTAATTCAGAATTAGACACTTTGTTTGCTGCCGGAAATAAAAAATATTTTTATTTGTATAGAGCTTTCTAAGGCACTAGTTAACATTCGAATACACTTCTTCCGATGCCACTGTACGGACCGTTTATTTCCGCAGTTAGCACAGCTGTACAGTTTATTTTCACAGTTAGCGCAGTTGTACAGGTACAGTCTACTTCTGGAACACTATATTGCTTACAGATGCCTCTACATTTTATGCAATAAAGTGAATAAGCTAAGGAAGAACTACTCTAGTGCAGTGTACCACCACATCTGTACATGCATATTTAAGTAATGGATTCGTTAAACATTTGTGTTTTAATAAAATCTGTGGAAGCACGAAAATGTGTAAAATAGGAATTGACTTAAAAATGAAACACTTTGCGATAAAATTTAAACACAAGTTACTAAAACGCCCATACACAGTGGTTATACAAAAAGTCTTGATGTGGTACAGCATGGCATGTAGTATTTACAATATCATTTCTTGTAAAGCTCAGCTTTTCTGCTCAGTGGAATAATGAACTGGTCTTTAACACGTATCACGATACAAGTGTATCGTATCACGTATCACGTATCACGATCACGCTAAGTACAAAAAACCCATAATTATCATGATAATAAGTATCATCGCCACCTTGGATCAGGATAGTGACCGTCCATTACGCTTGAAATAAGACAAATAGCATTCCCATGTACGTCCACGGCATGAGTGCACATACGGGAAACCGCAAAATTTATGCGCTCTTTACACTATACGCAAAAAATCAAACCGCATCACGAAAACGATAAAGGTATGACCCATCATAAATTTATCACTTCCTACTCGAGTAGTCGTATTCGCTGAGTCGGTTGTGATACCTAAGTTCACTCATTTAACGACGCAGGGCCTTATGTGCAGAAATCGGCACGAGTACAGTCTGTATACAACGAAACAAGGACAATTCAGAAGCTTTGCGTAACTTGTTCCATATTTTATTGAAACTGCCTTCGCTTATGGCTTCAACGAAACCATGTAACCACTAAACAAAATACGGGAAGATTCGCACTACCGATACTGAGACAGGTAACCATATCAGAGCACTAAAGAAATGGGCACACAAGGTTCCCAGTCTGCCGTTGTAAGTTCTTTCAGCACTCAGTATCATTTATCGAGTATTCTGTTTGATTAAAATTTATAGATGCGGATCCATTGGGGATTTCAACAGCGCAGTCAATCGGCAGAAAAAGGTCTTCTCTAAACATTTCGCTGTTTGCCCAACTAAACTGGAAAGCGTAGACCTCGAAGGTTTGAACGTGGTCACGCAACAAGGCAGTGTTCTCGTTCCACCAGCGGCGAAACCAGGCAAAGTCACATCCGCAGTGCAGGCGGAACAGATAGTCTTTGTGGTTTTGCTGGAAAACAGGTGTCGGTACCCAGCGAAATTGTGCATCACGGTGTTTTTGTACGCCTCTCTCCAACGCCACAATCCGCAAATCAGGTAGATCGCTAAATGCGTCTCTCTCTAACGTACGAATTGTAACATTAGTATAAACAATGCTTCGCAGTTTTTTGGATCGTTGGAAGTCTTTCCTCCGGACGTCGAGATCCGTGCAGTCTTGCAAGATATGCTCTAGCGCATTGAAGAAGTCAAATTCATATAACATGTACGTCGACCGGACGCTCACACATCCAAAGATTCCGAAACTTACAACCTGATTTCGAATTGACTGCAAATCCACAGCGGTAAGGTGAGATGCAGCATCCCCAGAAATCCAGATATCGATGGGTCGTGAGTAAAACTTTGTCGACCCTGCCGCCGTCAGTCGCGCATGCTCTGCCATTCCCTCGGGAGTTTCACAGCCCACGTCCACTCCTGCAACGCCATCATACCAAGATTCGCAACCGTAGACTGCAGCATTGAGCGGCAGGCAGCCCAAAGAGAATCGTAAATGGCACTCTTCAATAGTGCCCTTTACGGTTCCCATTACAGGGAATTTTTCCTGGTCGCCGCTGCTACTTTTGCATCCGGGATTCCATTTTTCTGGATCTGAAAGCAAGTGAGTCAACTTATAATGCATATATATATATATATATATATATATATATATATATATATATATATATATATATATATATATATATATATATATATATATATATATATATTATGTGTTGTTCGGTTTTTGCTGTTTTGGGTGAGACGAAAAACATTTAAAAAAGAGAGAACGACATTCGCTGCCGTGCGCCTCCGCGTGGACTAACGGTTCCTCTCATGATTGTTTTATGCGAAAATCGTTTTTTCCCATAATTTCAACATAATCAACTGAAAAGCTTTGCCCGTTTGCGCATTCTTCCATAATTCAATCACCTCACTGCATCATCCCGCGTGTGTAACCGGCACACCCAACCGCCGTAAATTTTGTTAGTTCACTTGTAGTACTGTACTCGCACATTTTTATATGCTGTGAAGTGTCCACGTTTCTGCCAGACTGTGTTTGCGCAGGTTTTGCCAGCTTACGCATGGTTTTCGTTTTTCCAAACGTCTATTAAACCGCACATCAGTCATTTAATTTTAAGTAGTGTACGTACAATGTACGTTCTAGTACAAGATGTACAAGTACAAGTACCACGTGAATCTGATTTATTGCCCGTAGTTCCGGCTAATGCACGGTAGCAACGATAATGTCCTTTGTTGTTGTCATGTTTATTGTTCAGCGACTATTTATTTAGCTGGCTTCCAGCAGGTTAATAGTAAAATACGTGTTACACAGTCGCTACATACATGAAATTTTACTAACCTTCTGAAAAGCAGTTAGTTAGATTTTCCGTGACTTACACCGCTCCTCATTGGCTGAAAAAATCGGTTGTGAGTTGTCCATAGTGTGGAAACCAGTATGGAACGGATTCGTGGCGCAGTTAACCGGCAAGAAAACGCTCTCTTTAACAAAAACGCTGTTCTCCCATGAACCGTAAGGGGTTCGATATATTTCTCCCTCCGCAGCCTGACGCAGTAGCCCGTTCACCTGCCACCAGTCGCGGAACCATTCGTACTCGCAACCGCAATGCAGTCGCGCCAGGTAATCCCGGACTCGATCATCAAAAACCCCCATTTCACTGAAACCGCTTTCTAGTGATAACAATCGCAACGCCGGAAGATCGCTGAAGGTATCCACTTCCAGAAACTGTAGTGTCGTGTTATGGAACTCAATCAGTCTGAGTTTGCTGGATTGCCAGAAATCCGCTCGTCGCACGTCCAAATTTGTGCAGTGTGCCAGTGCGAAGTGCAGCAGATTCGGCATACGGAACTGTGCCAACTTCTTCGTTGAGCGCGGAGCGATGCAGTTATACAAGCCGAAGACAATAGTTTGCTTGCGTACTGGAGAAAGGTTAGCAAAGCTGACGTAATCTCCGTCGAATAAACCAATGAAAACCGCTTTGATCGGCGGTTTAGACAAGGCATTGGCTAACTGTTGGAGCTCTTGCGCGTCGACTTCAGGTTTGCACAATAAATGCAAACCTTGGTCCAGGGTGCAATTATCGATGGCGTATCCGTTCCAACCGCAGTTGGCAGAGAACTGTAGCGCGCACTGATCCCGGGTCATTGGTTCGGTGGAAAACTGCGGAAATGGCACGGAGAACTCAAAAGGGTCCGTTTCGGCTGCAATGACAAACGGTTTGTGGAACTACATTGCGTGGACTGCGTTAAGTCACTGCATAGGTAATTTGCAGTTTGCAGGCTTGCAGCGTCTTCAGTTGGGATCATGTAACGGTCGCTTTCACAGGGGCCAGTTCTGTCCCTTTTTTTCGCTAGCATGTGAGCCAGTTTCCAGGTAAGTATTCACAGACATTCAAAATATCATTAAAGCAAAAGCTGAAGGGAGGCTAGGCTGTAAGAAGCTACTTTTGTTATTTTCACGCAAAAATTACTGGAATTCATGGTTAGATACCATTTTACGCTTTTTATAATATGGATATAATTAATTGCATTTATGAAGATTGTCGCACAGAGTAACAGAGACAATTATCATCTAAATAAATATTATGTATGTTATTAGGTCAAGACAGTTGTAACAACTAAAATAACGCTACCTTTATCGTTTCCAAAACTGCGATGGGATAACTGCGTCACAACAATGGCGTATATTCCTGCTAATAACGGTTTCTGCATTTTGGATGTTCGATATGCTTTAATCGGTCGATATACTGTAATCACCAAATGCTGATCCTTCCTCGACAAATCTGTGTCATATACGGAAAGCTTTTGCAAAGCTATGGCTATAACATTTTGCAATGTATTCGGCAATATTTTGCCAGGTAACAAACGATCCCGGATCTCGCCTGCCGGCAAAATGTTATCCGCAAAATATTTACGGATACTTTGTAATAGCTGGCACTGGTTGCCCAATAAATCTGAGTCGCAAGATTCTCGTAATCTGGTACATACGAGTATTGATGATTACTGCATAATGCATATACATATTCACGTGCGGCTGTCTATAATTTCGCCGTACCGTTTCAATGAAAACTGTTCTGCACACCAGAAACTGGTTTATGTGCCTTTCGATGCTGATTAATTCTGTGTTTCCGGCGCAATAAATAAATTTGTGGAGACACTAAACATCATTTGCGAAAGCTGTGAGTGATTCACTTTGCACGTGATCCATTCCTGGTACATAAGTAGCGCTTTCTCATGGAAATGAGCTGCTACAATTTTATTCGAGAATCTGTAACAAGGAATTATCAAATAACGCAGTTTTTATTGGATTGGAGAGTATAAATCACATTACCATTTCTTCGATTTCACTTCACAGTGTCATGGATTTTGATAATGTGACGCTGAACGATACCGAATACGAAGTGTACAATTACACCGAGACATACAATTTCACGGCAGAGACCTGTGAGCAGTTGCTGCGCGCTCTGGGCGAATGGAATATCAGTGTGGAGGAAATCATAACGCAGAAAGCGGATTATTTTAAGCGGGATACTTGCCAGCGACCGCTACTTAATATTGCGCTAATCAGTGAGCACCCGGTGAAATATGCGTATCTTGCCATTTATCCTATTTTGTTGGCATTATGCACCATCGGGAATCTGCTAACCATCGCCATGTTGCGTGAACGTAATGTACGCTGCAATAAACGGTCATCCACGGATATTTATCTGGTTGCTTTGGCCGTTTCCGACATCTGTGCAGTGTAAGTCATAGCATTACTAAAACCTGTTGCCTTTCAGTATCGCAACATAATAAATTTTTGCTTTGATATATTAATTGTTTAAATAAATGTTTTTAAATAACAAGTTTTTTAATAACCAAAAGAATAAAAAAAAATGTTGGATTGATAAGTATTGCCTTTGGAGTACGGTTTCATCTGCATTGCGTTTTATTGTCAAGGATTGCTTGGGTTGAAATATTTCTATTGACAAAATACTTAATTAGCAGCCTGGTAAATTTAAAAATCGGTCAATCGATACTTGATGTACCTACTCCTAGGATCAGAGAAGTTCGGATCAGAACAAGATCAGCGCATTGACTGCATCGTTTTGTCATAGGTGGAGTCAGTTGCTCGATTACAGCTCCCTCATCGACGCCGCCGTTGTTGATCCGTATTTTAAATTTTTCTTGAGCGGAGCCATTGGCGGAGCAGCGTTTGTTGGCGAAATATTTATTAACTTTTCCGACTGGTAGGCTATAAAATACGATTTTTTACATAATGGAGTGATATCACTAGAATTAGAAGTATACATGTGTTACGATTATGTACGGCAACTGGTATGCTATACACATTAATACGAATTCTTGGAATAGAATAGAATGATATCACTATTTTATGATTTACTATAGTTTTTATTATATTTTTGTAGGATATTAATCAGTTTCACGGTTGAGCGGTTGCTTGCCGTTGTGCTGCCGTTGCAGGATGGGAGGATCGTCAGCCGTAAATGTACGCTTTCCACCGTGTGCTGCCTGTTTGCCCTTGCCGTGCTAGCTGCCGCGTACAATCTGTACGACTATTATTATTTTTATATCTGGGATGATCTTCGCTGCCCGGTTAGGAATACATAATAATAATTAATAATGTCGGCATAATGTGAATACTGGCTGCACTAACATGATTGTTTTTTAGGCCACGTTTTTACAACCCACAAAAGTGCAAAAACGATGGGGTGCGGTACAGAAATATTTTACGGTAATTCTTACACTCGTTCGTAAAATAGTTTGTAGAGTTCGTAAAAGAGTGTTTATTCTGTGCAGTTTAGCCATGGGATTCTTACCATGGTTAGTTCACACTTCCATGTTTTCACTGGTAATGCTTTTGCTGTCCTTTTTGCGACCTGGCCTTTGACCATAATATTTAAATTTTCCTTGCACTACATCGATTTCGCCCGTAAATTGCTCAAGCTCGCTTTACGGGCCAGCAGCTTGCTCACCAGCAACAGCCGCTCTCTCTGTTCTGTGTCTCTGCTCACTCGATCAGGTGCGCATGGGCCGGCATGGCTAAAGCCGCAAAACCGGTTTTGCGGCTTTAGCGATGTGCTGATGTCCATTTTACGTGAGTGAGCAATCAGCTGACCTGTACAGTGGGCTTAAGCAGTTTACGGGCGAAATCGATGTAGTCCACACAAACACAAAATAATAAATTTCTATAACTAAAAAGGAAATTAGTGTTATCCGAGGGCGTTTGTTCCAAAATAATAATAGCTTTTCTAATAAGAAAAACATCGAAGTATGTATGTATGTATACTACTGCCACACAGGCACTAATGGTAACTAGAAAAAGTAGTTTGGCGTGCATTTGGCAGACCGGAGAGTAGCAGCTTTTCGCTCGTGCGAGTGATAATAATTTTTAACGGATTACCAGTAGAACTCTTAACAATTACTTAACATATTTATTACTGATCTAAACTTACCAACACGACCAGCCAGCAACAGGTTCGTAACGACCTTTCGCAACGACTTACCGTAACGGACAGAAATCAACTAAAGCATTAGTCTTGACTCTTGAATATAAGGGATCTTCGCTTCGCTCCGGTCGATTTATAATTTATTAAGGTTCTACAGAAACACGACTGATCGTCGTTCAGGAAGGTTGACATGGTAAATAGCAAATACCTGATGCCAAACAAGGTGACCTTAGACAATATTCGCGAGAACCATACTCTACAAAGTATATATTTTGCTTTCATTTATACAAGCCAGTTTTAAAAACAAGTGAGCACTACTCTGTACAACCGTGAAATAAACACTGGCTTAAGCCATTTACGGCGCACTACGTCACGAAGTTGACGCAACTGCGGTGCAAAAGAGGGAATCTTAGACAGTTTTATGCGCCACTTCATACGTTACTGTTAGCGGCCTATGTGCAGCACGCTTACAGTGGACACTTGTTTTTGAAACCTGCTCTGTACATTATTGTAAAGGACACAAATCAATTTACATTTGTTCCGTTATTTTTCAGATAATAGAAAGCAATCTGAAGACTACGAATGCGGTTCCGAATACGAATCCCCGCCTCTTTTGCCTACGTCATACCCCTATTCGTTTCGTAAACCTTCCGTAAAGCACGAAATTTAAGCTTTGAATCGTAGCGTGTCTCCGGATAGCTGTCGATTCTGCCTGTCTTGATGGAATTCCGTTTGCTTTGGATTTTAAGCAGAGAAAACATTCCTCTTTTTTATGAGCTTAAAAGTTTTTGAAAACTCTTTTCACAATTTAAAAACAAATTTTTGATTGACATGAGGTATCGCAATTGAAATTACGTTAAAAAATGCAATTTGTACGAGTCGTACAGGCGTATGCATCGAGCTCTACCGACCAATAGGAAAATTCTAAAAGCAGTTGGATCGAGTGCAGCTAGTTAGCTGGCAGTCGCCGACTTGGGCGGTTGAGCGCTTTCGGTCTGAAGCAGTTTTTACCTGACCACTTCGGCCGCGCTACGTTTCGGGCACTTGTTATCACTTCGGCAACATACAATTCGCCTTGCTCACTTCGGTCCTCACTCTTTTCGGCCACGGTTATTTTGGCTACACGACATTTTGGCTTTTATTTTTCTTGTGTCAAGTTGTTACTTAGCGTTTGTTGTAAATTGTAAGCTGCTTATTTACAATTTACAAGAAAACCTTCTGTTACATTTATTTTTGAATTATGAGAGGCTGATGGTGAGCTGAAGCTGCAAGTGAACGTGGCCGTCGTGGCGTAATCTGTGTTCTGTTCCAACAAAGTTTGTTTCTTTTTCTGAATGTGAACTGATAAATGATCTGTTATCAGGTAGACACAACGCAACGCGTCATTACGCAACCATAAATACGCTTAGGTTATAGATAATAGCTTTATTTGTTGCCTTCTTTCCTAATAAAAGTAGCTTTATTTGTTGCCTTCTTTCCTAATGAAAGTAAGTATTGATCAAATTTTATAGAAACAGATAAAAGCTGGCAACAATGCATCGACGCATTCATTTATTCTTCTTAGTAGACTGCAAGTTTGCAAATTTTTTAATTATTGATAATAATTAGCATTGGTGGAATTTTGCCTAAAAGTACATAATGTGGTCGAATGTGAGTGGTGGCCGAATAAACGTAACCGAAGTGTAAATGGCCGAAATCATCGGTACCGACCGTTTCGACATCTGTTTCGGTCCGAATGCATTGTCAGATCTCGGATGCGGTTACGAACACCATTTCCATCCGTGTTCGTATTCGGTTCCGTATTCGTAGTGTGTAGATTACTTTCTAATCCTGCCGATGCTGAATTTTACAATAATCTTTATCCTCAACAGCATCGTCGCTGTCTGCCTGTTCAATCAGCGCCAGTTCCGCGCCCTGTGCGTGCAAAGCAGCGCCACCAACGCGGATGTGGATGCCGGTAAACTGCTCAGCCATCCAGATGCTGTTGGTCGTGGCCCTCTTCTACATCGTTACCCAGTCGCCCAAGATCGTTTTCAACCTGTGGAGTTCTCTCATCGCATACCCGCTCTGCTACACTCCGCTTTCGGAAAGCCAGCACGCCATCATGATGCGCCTTAGTGACCTTACGTTTATTACCAATTATTCCTGTAATTTCCTCCTGTATTATGGCGTCAGTGATGCGTTCCGTAACGGATGCCGGCAACTGTGGCAGTCGCAACCGTTCCGGCGTCTGGACGGGCGGAGCGGCGCGACTACGTGGTCGCCCACGTGGGTGTGCACGCCCACCAGACATCTGGGTGCGTATGATACGCAGCGGGGCGTGACGAGCGGATTGGAAGCCATGCAACCGGTGCAAAAGCGTTCACTGGAGTCGTTCAGTTCCAGTAAGACCACGTTCAGTACGGTGATGTCGCTCAGTGGAAAATCCTCCATTGGAAGTAATAGCAGCGGCGGCAACTGATGCTACAGCGAACACAATGTCCGACTTGCTGAAAATATGCGAAAAATTTGTTTGGTGCTATTAAATCAAAGGGGACGAGGGGTAAGAATATGGATGGTGCTTTTTTACAGTGTGGGTTGTGTGATTCACATTCGGCTGACTTCTACTGTCGTAATGCTGTTACGCGTTTTTATTTCAAACTTCATTTGAACACGTTCGAAGAACATTTAAAGAAAAAAAAATTCATTAAACATTTCCGCTCTTTCAACGGTACCCATAACGGAAGCGGCATTACCCCGCTGCATCTCTAGAGACAGTCGCTGCCGAAGAAATTCGTGTGAGCGGGCTTCTCCTGAATGAGTCCGGAGACGCTTTCCCAGTTCTTTAATGATTCAACTTCAACGCAATTCAACTTCTGGAGCAAATAAAAAGAGAGAGCGAGCATCAGGTTTGAATAACTTACAACACCGCTGCACCGCTTAAATGACTTCGGCCATTTCCGACTATTCCATATACAGTAATACAGTTTCGTACTCTACCTCAAGTACAAACCTAATACAAGGTCACCGCTTACAAGGGCACCGGATAACTTTTGGATCCTTGTTTGTAAATAAAACGTTAATCTGTGTATGCACACGGCAAAAAAGGCGCTTGCAACCCGTTTAATGCAGATTATAATATACTGTATATCTTGGAAAACTCTAGTGATTGCTTTCTTATTAGAATCATGTTATGATATTTTTAGCGTAGCACATGCAAAATAATTTACAGTATTTATGCCCAGACAGTCAACTGTTTGGTGAAAAAACCATCATTTCACAACGGTAGTCGTGGTCCTTTGCATACGTAACCGTACTAATACGTACTCTAAACCACTTGTCGCTATTTAATATGAACAGTATTGTTGACATAATTGGTAGTATGTTGTTTGAGTTCAGAAGGAAGGACAGACGCCTCGAATGCCGAGATTATGGTCATTGGTACTACTGCAGGACGTTTTTGCCTCTCCCGTCATTTAGGTCACCGCAAACCTTATTACGTGCGATGGACATACACTAACTTCTTCGGAAAGACGAGGCAACGAGCCGTTTTTTAAAGTAAGCAGTTATTTACTGATGCAAGAGAAACATGATGAAAGCAGTTACGCAGAAACATTCAATCAGTTATAAGGTTAGCAGCTGAACACCTTCAGCGAGTTGTGTGATCCGTCGGCATTCGTGTTCGTGGGATCCGTCAGTGTTGAAGTGTTCGCACAACTGCAGCGCAATCACAAGCTTTTCATTGGAATATATACAGAATGCGTAACAGTCCGCACCAACTGAAGGAACTATCTTAGGATGAAATACATAAACTACGTATATACAGTAACAAGTGCATTCCGTCGGAGAAATCACATCCCTGGCCTTATATGGAGGATCTCTGGCTAAGAAGACTTTTGTTTGAACTGCTCGACTCCAGACTGCGTTTCTCTACTTGTTGACCCGCATCATTTTTGACGGATCGATTAGGCCAGGCCGAACCGCTACGATCTAGAATAAGCCCGAACATCCTCCGCTGACAAAACACTTCTCTGCATCCCCGGCGGAAGGCACGGCTCACTCCATAGTACAGCAGAAAATTCAGCGAATAATTCACATTGGTAGCGATGGATGTGAAGCGCATAAAGTACACCCGTGTCTCCTCCGCTACATCGTCATAACAAAACGGACGGTTGATTAAGATCGTCCACAGGTTCCAGACAAAAGCCGGCATTTGGGTAACGACGTAGAAGACCGCCGCCACTAGGAGCATGTGGATGAGAGGCTTCTCTTTGGCCGCATCGGTGTCGGAGACAGATGAGATGCGGACGTGTAACGCGCGGAATCGTCGCTGGATTAGTAAGTGCATGGCCACGATCGTGTTGATAACCAGGATCGCCAGGAAGTTGATTAACGGTTGCGCTACCTGAAAAAGGTACTTGACTAAAAAAGATACTTGACCTTTAACAACAAAATTTTCTAATAACACTTTCGTTTTACCAGTACTCATATGATTAAGAATTACAAGCGTCCCTACTGACCACAAAGAAACGCTGTACTTGATTCCAATCCTCGTGTAATGGTGACTTCACTGTGAGCCACGCCTATAAGAATTTCAGCAGATATATGAGTTTTATTGGATATGTACATTGCACAGTAGTGCACTGGTTAAACGTTTTACCGGACATCGTGGATCTTCGTTTGCATAGAACCAGTAATAATCGTACAAGTTGAAGGCCGACGCAGACATGCCCAAGCAGAACACACTAACGACGATGATGATGGTCCGTTGACGGTTGACAATGCGCCCGTATCTCAGTGGGGAAGCGATGGCCAGCAGTCGTTCTATGCTGAAGACGATCAGGAGCCTGTAATATTGACGAAATTTTGTATTACCGGCTTATGGCTACGGATTCCAATCCAGTGCTAATTGATCTACGTATATATGAAGATATCCTTTAAAAAAATTGGCTGCACCTTACCAGTCGGAAGAGTTAATAAATGTATCCGTTAAAAATGTCGATAAACCAATGCTTCCATTAAGTAAAGTAGAAAATTTCGGATGGTTTGCCAACACGTCAATTTGCGACAGCTGCAGAGACAGTTGACTCCACCTGTAATTAAAAAAAAAACAGAATCGTCACAGACATCACCATGACCTTGAATTTACGAAATAATCATAATACATTTATAAGATTCGCATTTATAATTCTATTAGATCAGTTACATATTTATTGAGCTTGTTTGTTTAATTATTATTATTTTTATTTGATGTACTTGTACATATGTAAACCATGTGATTGAGAAGTATTAATAGTTGTACAGTATGTACCATATTAGTAAAGTGAATTATCCCTGAAATTATTGCAAACTCTGTCTGATTTAAATTATCCAGTTCCATAATATTTTTTAATGAAAAACATTTTCTGTTTTATTTTTGCTGACTTTGTACAGAAAACTAAGAAAATGGCGCAAATTACAAGTCTGTTTTTACAGGAATAAAATTGCTATCGAATATTCATTAGAACGCAACGTGAAATGCTACGAGTAGTCCGGCTGCCAAAAGTGCTTTTAATGTTAACGCTGCCATTATAAGCAGAACATGCTTATGAACCATAACCGTAACTCTTGATTAGATGACTAACTTATAGATTGCATAAGTGCAAAATTTTTTCCTTTGACGAAGTGTTACGGAAGTCGGTGCTAAATAGATCTCGGCATGTGCCGCGCCGCAGAAACGGCAACAAGATCAACACCATCGCTCTGCATAGCAATCATTCCCATTGTTTTGCGGCTACTGTCTATTGTGTTTACTTCGCCGTTTTCCGTGAGCCATTTATTGACAAAGAGCAAGATGCAGCAGCCTTCGACACGAGTTTTGTTTAAATATAAGATTCAGTGCAAGAAGAAAAGAAAAATCATAGTCAAAGAAATAAGCCAGCAAAACACATTTTATTCGCTATAAATAAAATTATATTACAGAAAAATCTAAAAATTTAGCACGTACGCACAAACATTAAGTGGTAGAAAGCTAAAAAATAAAAAAGCGACGAATTTAGCATAGTTTTTTATGAATTCTCAAAAACGCTTCGATAGCCTTACAAATTGCGCTGCATTAACTACATTTTATTTTGCCTAATTTTAGCAGATTATTTCTCTAATATTCCTGCTGGGTATTGAGATAGAATAACAGATTGACTTACAGAACGCCCATGTCGGCAACAGCCAGTGCAATCAAATAAATTTCTGCTGACCAGCGTTTACCACGCCGCACCACATTCTCCCTCCGCAAGATAATAATATTCAGAATGTTCCCCATCGTACACAGCAGCAACGACACCGGATACATGACAATTACCGCGTATTTTGCCGGGTGTGCGGTGATGGTGGTCATATTCGGCAGCGTCCGGTTGCACCCGTCCCGTGCTAAATCCTCGTTGTCCACCTGCGCTAGCAGCATCTCAACGCTGACGTTAAAGTCATGCACAGCTCGCAGGAAGTCATCACACGTGCTGAAATTGACACTGACTTCCTCCTTGACGTCCACATAATCGTAGGACGCATTGGTAAACGGATTCCAATCCATGGCTTTTAATTAATATTTAATAATATGATTTTTTATTAGGGATAGATGACCATCGTGGAACGAAAATGAAAGTGAGTATTAATCAGTTTAACGCGGAAGACGATATGCCGCACAGTTCAATGTTTTGTTGTGTGTTCGTTCACCGGAATTGACTTTGGCATGCGCGCTACTGTCGGCAGCTCTGACTTACAATCTGACTAAATGAGGAGGCTACGGTCTATGTTAAAAAGCCAGCGAACAGCCTTTTTTGCCCGCTGAGGCTGGTTGATCAATGCAGCCTCACTGTTGTGACTATAAATAGACTGAAGACAGCGCATTCCGGTGCTGCCAAAAAGCGCAAGCGGAGTGCTGCCTTGCTGTATCGATCGATCGCGCACATGTGTGTGTGAGTGGGTAAATCCGCTCGCATTCACTTACACACGTATGAGTGTGGCTGTCTGTGCGCGTACTAGCTGTACAAACCGGTTTTCGCTGTCTTCGCTACAACGCATACCCTAAACCCGTAGCTTCCTTTCTTGCTCGCATTGTACTTATGCTTACATACACAAACAACCTACCGGCGTTTTGCATGCAATACCAGTATGCGTAATCATAGCCGCAGGTGCTTTTTGTGGTGTTAGTACGGTTGTACACGCAAGAGGATCACAATAATTATTATCATTATGAAATACAGTTTTTTCAGTAAAAAAAATTGCTGCTGGTATATAATGCTATTCTGGAAACGCATGAAGGATAATTTATATACAGTATGTTATATACAGTATGATTCAGCAACTAGAAAAAAACTACTGCGGTTTGCCAAGATAACCTACCCAGATCAGGCCAGATGGCAAATCGCTTGTTTAGCGGTGAGTATACTTCGAGTCCGGACCAGAGATAAATGCTTTATTTACAAAACAACTTGCCAAACGATTTCCGGTGACCTTGCACAAGGGGGCCATGTAAGTGGCCACGTACAGACGTACAGTCTGTACGTCCTATTACGCTCGGGCAATTTGTTACAGCTCGCTGATTTTGTTGTGCATATTAGACAAAGTTTTCTTTTATGGGAGTGATTGCCTTTTTGCAGGAGACATTGAGTTAATACGAGTATCATAATTTATTACAAAGATAATACCAAAGCTCAGTTTTCCCATTTGCTCTCAGAAGAGATTTACGACAGAAAAAACCAGACGTGCAAAAATTACTGCACAAGCTCTGCCAACCAACATGAATTCTTCGCACAACTAACCATATACCGCAATAATGATAAATTTATCATAGCACAGTTTTCAATTTTTGCCGCCAGGCAAAATGTGAATGTGGTGCCTCACTTGCCGGTGCTACTACTTCCATTCGAGGACTTCTCACTAAGCGGCATCACCGTACTGGACATGGTCTTACTGGAACTGAATGACTCCAACGACCGTTTTTGCACCGGTTGTATGGCTTCCAATCCGCTCATTACGCCCCGCTGCGTATCATACGCACCCGGATGTCCGGTGGGCGTGGTCGCGCCGCTCCGCCCGTCCAGACGCCGGAACGGTTGCGACTGCCACAGTTGCCGGCACCCCTTACGGAAAGCGCTACTAACGCCGTAATACAGCAGAAAATTACAGGAATAATTGGCAATAAAGATAATATCGCTGAGACGCAAAAGGATGGCATGCTGGTTTTCGGTGGGCGGAGTGTAACACAGCGGCGACGCGCTGACGGCTATCCAAAGATTGAAGACGACCTTGGGCGACTGGGTGACGATGTAGAAGAGCGCTACGGTCAGCAGCATCTGGATGGCCGCGCCATCTTTACCGGCATCCACATCCGGGTTGGTGGCGCTGCTGTGTACGTACAAAGTGCGGAATCGGCGCTGACGGCACAAGCACACAGCGACGATGCTGTTTAGAGTCAGGATTATGGCGAAATTCAACACCGGCACAATTATCTGCAAAACACCAGCCACTGGGAAAATTGCTTCGGTATTTAAAGTTAGTTTAGGTCAAGAAAAATCATGTTTTCATCTTTAAAAGCGCTTTGCCTATAATAATTTGCATTAAAAAAAATCGTTCTGAAGTAAATCATTAACAGCGTTGGGATATTTTCTGGCGTGTGGTTATTTTAGCAGTAGTTGAAGGCAGTCATTAGTTTCAATTAAAAAATTGCTTTATACCTTATGCATCGTTGGAAATCGTTTTTTCATGTGGGCCAATAAAAAGAACTTTGGGAAACGGGCAGGAATTTACCAAAGTCTTGTGGCACTTTGTATATATAAACATTTGTACTTTATACATTTGTATGTAATTGTATACTTTTGTATATTGTGTACTGTAGCAGCTTGTTGAAATTGCACCACAGAGTCTGGTGTACGGATACCGACGCACACGCTGCTCGATGTTCTACGTAGCGTGTGCGATATCTGGCGGGTGGCGGGCTACGGCCGGATCTAAACGTGGTGCCATTTCATCTAGCGGCTACAGTATAATTATACAAAAGCATATTAACACGCGATAAAAGAAATATGATTGAAAAATTCGACAACGAGAAAATTTGTTTGTTACCGTATTACCGTGAAATATTTTTGTGCCGAACGCCAGTTTTTTAGCACGACGGGGAATGGTAAAAATGTTGACTGAAAAGAACAGAATTATTATTGCAGTCATAGGTACACTTTAAGCCGGTAACGTGTTCCCTACCGGGCATCGCGGATCATCCCAGAAATAAAAGTAATAGTAGTCGTACAGATTGTACACAACGGCTAGTACGGCTAAGACGAATAGGCAGCACACGGTGAAAAACGTGCGTTTGCGACTGACCAGCCTTCCATATTGCAACGGCAGTACAACGGCCAGCAAACGCTCAACGGTAAAGCTGATTAATATCCTGTGGGAAATCCACAAAAGCGATAATTTCTGCATTTTATTAACATCTTGCTAAAGAAATTGTTTTTTTTTCATACCAGTCAGAAAAATTTATAAATACGTCGGCAAAAAACGCTATGCCGCCACTGGCCCCGCTCAGGAAGGATTTGTAGTAGGGATCGGCAATGGCGGCGTCGATTGTGGAACTGAAATATACCAGCTGACCCCACCTACGATAAAACGGTGCAGACAATGCGATGGCCTTGTGCTGATCATTTCCGGGTTTCTTTAATCCCTTGCATTGATCAAGTAGTTTTTAGGTTACAAGGTTGTGGTTGAGAATTCAGTCAATGGAAAACTCCCAGCGATTTATCCTTTAAATCGAGTGCGTCGCATATAGCACCGCAAAACATTCCGAAATAAACTAAAACTTTTTTATATTTTCACAATACTATCAAACATTATTAAAAGTACTTACCTGGTCAAATAGTTTGGGTATAGAAAAATTATAAAAGAATTATTATTATTATTCATTTATTATTATTATTCATTTATTGTGCAACTGATAAGCGAGAGGTTCTTATTAGTGCTACGGCTTACACCGCACAAATGTCGGAAATGGCCAAAGCAACCAGATAAACATCGGCGGACCAGCGTTTATTACGGCGCCCGTTCTGTTTGCGCAGTATGGCAATGGTCAAGAGATTCCCGATGGTGCATAAGGCCAGCAAGGTAGGATAGATGGCAATATAGGCATATTTGATGGGATGCTCACTGATTAGCGTTACATTCTTCAGCGGTCGATGGCAATTATCTTCGTCAATGTAATCCGCTTTCTGCGCCACGAAGTCCTCCACACTAATATTCCATTCGGCCAGGGCGCGCAGCAACTTCTCACAGGTGTCCGCCGTGAAATTGTATGTCTCGGTGTAATTGTACACTTCGTATCCGAGATCGTTCAGCGTCACATTATCAAAATCCATTGCATTAGAAATTATGGCAATAATTATTAGCAAACTATCCAAAAAAGATCCCGGCTGTAATAATTTATTTTTTTTAATAGAAAATCTGGATTAAATTAATAAATTCTCGAGCGAAAAAGCACGGGCTGATTTTCAGAAGAAAGCGAAAGTGGGCAGCGCGACCGTTGCGTAAAAAAAACGCTATCAGATCTTACTAGTGTCCGTTCACCGCATCGTCACTGTTTTACTAGCGCATTCTTCTCACACCTAAAGGATGCTACATATGCATAAATGTAGCTGGAGGTGTTTTTTGTGGTCTCTAACGGCGGAGAGAGAAAGTGAGACAGTGATGATCACAAGGTTACGTGATGGTTGTTTTTATAGCGAACAATCGTTGTGCTAACGCAGCGTCCGCTAAATGCCGGCACCTGTCGACAATTACCGCAGTCACTGCAGCGGAGACAATGAGGATGATTTGCGCGCTCTGCATCACTGAGTTTGTGTTAGTTGATTATGTAAATTGCATACTTTTGTATCAATTCCATAACCAGCTTCGACGACGAGCCAAAGTGTAAACGAGAAGTGTTAACGTGATTTGCACTACATACGCGTACAACCTAGAATATCGTTCGGGAACTCTCGCTGACCTTGTAGGACTGCACTATAATCACCGTTTGTTAAAAATCTTACCATTTTCCATTTTCTTAAAAAACACACATGTTTTGACTTGTTACTGCATCACGCATCAGGATAAATTAAACTTACTCTCCAATTGAAAAGGTTGCAGTACCGTTCAACACCCGTTCTTCCTGTAATGAGGATCATTATGTTTCTACTTTATTTAAGTACACCAGTCACTCATCAGCAGCTGGGCCTTAAAAATCCTGAAATTTTAATTCGGCAGTATCAGTGTAATCCTTGAGCGGTACATACGCCACCTGTGTCAGTGACTGTTAATTTCACATAACCTAGAAAACAAGAGAGTTTCCTTGCGTAATGGGTAAATATTTTTTTATTTTTTAGGCGAAGCGATCCACATCTAGCTACGTATATTATTAATATACCGTAATTTTGCAAGCAGGTTGATTCGCAAAGTCTCTGCGACGTGTACCATAATCAACACCGTTGTTTTTTTTCTTATTCCGGTTTATGATGACCCCATATATAATAACAGAAAGATTTTTCAACACATCAGCATAATAATATTATTAAATCGAGGCTCTTGAGACAGCGTAGTGGACGCTTTGTATCGTAAATGGACCAACGCATACTCAGTAGATATCTGGCGTACTCGTAGTTGCTCAAGTATTAACCGTCTCGCTGGCTGATTTGACACTCGTATTTTACCGCGCGTACCCTTGTTTTTCACGCATAATGTTTTTACTGAAGAAATTTATGATCTATGGCCATAACGCGAGTTTAGACTCTTAGATACTTTATGCAACGTTTACACGACGGCCACGTAGCACCCGTAGCCAACTATCCATTCATAAGACCGACCAGCTTATCCATTTTAATTTGTCATCCCCCTGAAGCTATGAAATGAAGAAGCTACCCGGCGCACCTTTTTTGATCGCGGTAGTATTTAAGGTGGGCTGCCGTTGTTTTATTTGTTGCCGCACTAAACGCTAAATCGTTGTTTTTTTCGTTGTTAATCTGAGACTGCGCTGCAGCCACAGTCATGTCGATGCTGAAGTTGTCGTTCTTGTTGGTCGGCCTCGTGGCTATCGTTTGCGCCGCTCCTAGTCAGCCGGGCGATTCCGATTCTCAACAAATTGCTACAGTATGTACTATATGTAATATAACTGTTTCACGAAGAGCAAATATTCCTTATTGTAGAAATTGTAAAAGTTATATTTATTTACAGAATAATAATCATGGCATTAGCCATTATGTACCATGTGTTTATTAACATTAACTAATGCTGCAACGTGTGATTGGTTTAGGATGCTTTTTTCGGAATCGGCAGTATCGCCCCCAAGGAATCACCGGCCTATGCAAAATGTGGTGCCAAATTCCGCAAAGCCCGAATAACCGTTAAAACGTACAAGAAGGAAATCGACTCCGGTTCGGTATTATACAACATGAAGGTCAGTGTAGATGATAGATCATCCCATAAAGTTAAAACAGCACGTCGGTTATTTCTGCGCTTATTCATATCTATGGTACCGGAAATGCTCTAAAGATATAGCAGACTGATATTCAATGCGCTAACATTGCTTATTTTATGGATTAAAAGGTTGACATCGCCGAACCTAGCTCGGGATCCAGTACAGGACGTACCTACCGCAATAAGACATTTAAGGTCTTTAAAGCGCGCACGTCTGGTCAGCTGTTCATACGGGAAAATCCATGCGACAGCCTTTAAAAAATTGCTTTATGTGGGACATTCTGTTAGGTGTTTTATGCAACCGGGTTTTAATTGGTTTTATGGCGTTTACGTTTCTGATGGCGGGTTGTAATAATATACACCCATGAGACAAAGCGTTTAAAGAATTCATATCTTCTCGTTCGCATGTAACTGGCTTCATGCGCATTCACATGGTCGACAGCAACCTGTTTTTTTGTGCATAGACTACGAAAAATAGGTGCGCTTGTTAAATTCGAAGACAGTTCGCAAAAACGTGAATGATGAATCATCGATGGCTTTCGGGCCAGTTACGGCAAGTAATTTCTGTCTTTGGTCTGCCTATAACCGATTAATTTAGTCCAAGCTGCTAAAGTGCTAATGTACTTTCCGCATATTGCGGCTTGTTTTTGTGATCAACGAATTATTCTTTCATTATTATACCGCAAAGGAGTTTAACAAGTACAAAGATCTGCTCTGCAACTGTAACTGACAGATCCAATATTAGCCAAAAACACAGCCTGTTAAGGTATAGATACAAACACGAAACAAATACAGTATAAGCATCACCAAAACAAAACAATGACGGTTTATTGAATAACTATAATATGGTCATCCATGTGTATAACAAGCAGCTTACGTGCTTACTGCTGACGCGGGCGGTTGCGATGTTGACTGTTTTGCAGATGACACAATTGTGCATGCCATGCCAAAACAAAAACTATTGCTGCAGCGAAACTGAACGGTGGATTAGCTCGGGTTGGCAAGATTATGGAAGAAAATCTGCTGCACGTAAATGGAAAAAAGTGCCAGGCGATGTACAGTATGTATGTTCTGACCGAAACACACAACCGGATCCGGAAATCGCCATCAATCTGTCGGTTGTCGGCATTGCTAGTTGCGTTCGATATCTCGGCGTTGAGACTGATAACCACTTGAAGTGGAGCGAGCAGTTCAGAAAGGTACAACGGAAAGGGAATTTTGGCACTGCCATGATTAATTTGGCACTGCATGTCACAGCGCAAAGGTCTTTATCACGCCTGCTTCGGTTGCCATATCGCACACCGGTCTCCGGTATGCTCTGCAGCGTCTTTGACTGAGCGCGACAAGCTAGCCGGACTACAACGTAAAGCTCTGAAAACCATTACTGACTACAAGATGCCGGTTACTCCGGAACTGTATCAGAAGTTGGGTATTCTTCACATATCCGACCGATGGCGTCAGAGCGAAGCGGTGTGGCTGTTCAAGATCTGGAACAAAAATCAGTTCCCGCTTCCGGCCTACCTCCTGGATATGGTTCAAGTAAAAGATAACACTATGCACTATAATTTGCGGAAGCCGGCACGGATCGAAGTTACCCGGGCCAAGAAAGTAATCGGAGGGTGGACTATGGAAATGCGTTTAAAGCGTCTGCTTGATAAAATTATTGCTGTTAACCATAAAATTCTTGATGCCAGTTCTGTACCTGCCTTTAAGTTCGTACTCAAGTCTGTGGATCTGTCTTAACTCTTTACATTGCATTTAAAAATGTTCTTGTTCGACCAGACTTGAAGTCCCTTTGGGGTTGTCTGCTCTTGTGCCGTAATAATAATAACAAAGGGTAGAATATTGTAACATGCATGTAGACATGATGTAGGTAAACTAACCATGGTACATAAAACGTAAGTTGTGAAGTACTGTATGTGTTGGACCATGCACAGCCACTGCTCGCTTCGTTAATGGAGTGACGTGGAGTGGTGTGATCAGAAAGATACCGTAATTATCGAGTTTGAAGCCCCCCCAAATACAAGCCCCCCCCGTAATTAGAGCCCACCCCTAAGGTCGTATGAACTTATAAGCCTCCCCCCCCGAAATAGAGGCCCATGGGTTTAGCTAAATACCGTGAAGCCCATATTTAAAAAATGCCAAAGAGCTGGTCTGAAAAACTGAAGCCCCCCCCCCTCAAATACAAGCCCATGCCCGTAATTGGAGCCCACCCCGTGGGTCATTTGAAATATTTGTAACCCTGGGCTTCTAATTCTATAATTACGGTACCACGCTATGGCAGAGGTACCTTTCAGATCATAACGTACCTTCAGCCTTTCTGATTGTCTGGACGAAGCTGGCCGCCTCCGGATCGCGAAATATCACTATATGTACCCATGTCAAACAAAATTTTAGCGCAACGATTCGGACATTAGCAAATAGAACGCTGCTTGTAATGCTCGATGTGACGATCTTTTAATAATTAATGAAGAAGTAAACCTGACCAGCCATTTACACAGGGTACGGTAACATGAAGCAGATGGTTGTGTTGGGTTGAGGAGCATACTGCTTCTGCAACATGCGCCAAATCCTATAACCACTACGGCTGCCAGCCGGCTCCGTTCAACAAACCACTAAGCCCGTCGCGATAATCGAGTACGCGTCCGTTGTCCATCGTCCCGGGTGACGTTGGCAGAGGTCAGGTCGGATCGAGGTCTTGTGTCCGTGTTTCATCTGTTTGCGCAATTTTCCTTTTACTCTTTCGGAAATATTAAGGTTTTACAGGATTCGCTTCCTAATCCTTTTACGAATTTCAGGCCCGTTTAAGGGCGGCCATCCTGTTGATAAGTTTTTGTGTTTTCTCGGTTTGTATTTGTCTGCTGGGTCGACTAACTTCTTTGTCGTATATTTGCGGAACTAGTCAATTAGCTTGCAGATAATTCAAAAATATTTGCTTGACAGTTCTCCTCATAACTTAGTGTAGTGTTCAGTTGAGCTTAGTGTTTAATCTGATACTGGTCACAACCTAGCTCACAAGTCAGTATCTGTATGGTGTGTGTCCCAGCGGTATCCGTCCTTTAGCAGTTCTCGTTGCGCGAGTAGTCGGTCTGATTAAGGTCAACAGTGTCTGCTCCCGTGGGAATCTCCACCGCACAGTCGATCGGCACGTAGATGTCCTCGCGACTCATCCAACCGCTGCGCCAGGTAGTGCAGAAAGTGTAAACGTCGCCCTGCTCCACGGCAGTGCGCAAGAGCGCCGGCTGACTGCGCCACCACCGTCGAAACCAGACAAACTCGCAGCCGCAGTGAAGCCGCCACAAATAATCGCGATGGCGTTCCTCAAACACCGCTGCCGGCTCAATGATGGCCTTGTGGCTGGTGTACACGCCGTACTCCAGTGACACAATCCGCAAATCCGGAAGGTCACCGAAGGCATCCACCTCCAGGCTACGAATCGTGCAGTTCCAGAAGACGATTATGCGCAGTTTCCGGGAGCGTTGGAAGTCGGCCCGCTTGACGTCGATATCAGCGCAGTTCGCCACCCAGAAATCGAGCGCGTTGAAGAGGTCGTACTCGTTGATCTTCTTCGTGGGGCGGGTATCGATACAGCCCACCAGATTGAACACCATAATCCGCTCCCGTACCGGCGCCAAATCCGCAGCGATGACCGTTGCCGCGGATTCACCGGTCAACATCAGGCGAATCGGTCGGGGGTCCAGCTTTGCTAACAGCGGCACCATTCGCCGGACTTCCTGTGCCGTCCCATTGGGATAATCGCAGTCATCATTCCAGGTGGGTGTCAGGCCGAACTGTTTACAATCCTCCACGCGGAAATTTAGTGACCAGCACGGTGTGCTGTAGAAAAGGCGGCATTCCTCCTCGGTGCCAGGTGCTGTTGTCAAAACGGGGAAGCTCTGCTTGGCGCTCTCTTCCTCTGGGCATGCGGGATGCGCTTTTTTCGAGTCTGCAAGGCTCAGATTTCAAACATTTCGCTATATATTGTACTTTGTGGTTATCACAAACGAGAATCGGCGCATCTCCTGTTAAGCTGCCTACAGTTAAACTGTTCAACTGTAAGACGAAAAAAGAGGATGCTTCTACAGCAACGTATATTGCACAAACAAGCGGTTCTCTGTTCGAACACAATGCTGACAACTGCCAATGTTTTACTATGCGCATTGGATGCTGCTGCACACTGTGTACAGATTTTGTTATATGTGATCGCGAAGTCCACTTCTGTTCTTCGTCATACATGATACATCCAAGTCAGTTTCACTGTTTTGACTGGCTGATTAAATTACTTACACGAGAGCTCATTGGCCGAGTATACTTCCTGTACGAAATCCACGGCAGCGGATCCGTTGGGAAAGGGAGTCTGAGCGCAGTTGACGGACAGAAAGACATCTTTCCGCGTAAAGTTGTCACTGCGCCAGGAATCATAGGGAATGTCGTAGACGTCGCCTTCGGCCGCCTGCTGCCACAGTCCATTAACGCGCCACCAATCGCGGAACCACTGGAATTCACAGCCGCAGTGCAATCGCGCCAGATAGTCCCGCACGTCGGCGTCGAAAACCTGCATCGTACTGAAGCCCCGCTCTAAGGCCAGCAAACGCAGTCCCGGCAAGTCGCTGAAAGTCCCCGCTTCCAGCAGGCGCAGTGCCGTGTTGTAAAAAGTAATAAGACGCAGTTTGCTGGAATGCCAGAAATCGCTGCGGCGAACGTCCAGATCACGGCAGTCACGGAGCCCGAATTCAAGCAACTGCGGAAAGCGTAATACGGACAGCGTGTCTGTGGCACGGTGAGACTGACAGCTATTTAAATAGAAGATCACTGTCTGTTCCCGGACTGGAGACAAATTCGCAAAAGTCACAGCTTCTCCGTCGAACAGGTCGATGCGCATCGCCTTGATGGGGGGTTTGGACAAGGATGCGGCTAACTGCTGCACTTCTTGTGGTGTGGCATCACGGCTGCAATGGAGCGTCAAACCTTGTTTGGCGGTGCAGTTGTTGCTGCCGTATCCAGGCAGATGACAGTTGGCCGTAAACTGTCGCCGACACTGGTCGCGCGTCATCGGCTCCACCGAGAAACGCACAAGGGGCACAAAGATCTCATTGGCTGTGATCGGTGACTGGCCATCTCTGACACCTTTGAATAATGACGGTTGGAATAAATAGAGGTATGGAAATGTATTCCAGAGGAAAATAGCAGTTATTTAAGAGACAGTAATGCGTGTAACAGATTCTTTCACAAAGAACTGCCAACACAAAAACACATACGTACAGAAATTTGGTTAGTAGTTTTATCTCAGCCTAAATTATCGCTGGCAGTAGCCATCAGAGCAGGACAAATTCAGTCATGGTTACACCATTTAAGGTGGTTGAAATTTTGACATCATAAAACAATCGAAGCCCTTTATACTACGGGACATTCGGGCGACCACCACCAAGACAGCAGCAAAGTTTCCTCTAACAGTAGCTAGGCTTTAACACTTAAAAACGGCAGAGCTCGAGCTTGAGCTACTCTGTACTGCCTAAACACGCTATGAAATGTTCAATTATATTTACGCACCGTGGCTGAAGGTGTAAGGGAAAACGCTGCTAGGACCATCCCCTGCACGAAGCTGGTTACAGTTAGCATCGCTTTGGATAGAATGCATGTCCAGCACGTAAACTAGATCTCCGACTTGTGTGGCGAATGGTGTTATGTACTGTACCAGCAACTGGCTGTCTGTCAAAATCCAACGGTGGTACGAATGAGTTTGCATCATTAGATCTGCATTTCCAGTCGAAATCCGTGCCGACAAGCGCAAATTCCTTCCGGCTAGGTACCTTTGTCGGATTGCTCAATGTTTCGTTGTACTGCTGATCATTGCCTCCATAATGTATTACCATACTGATTTTTCTAACAATCGCTACTTTGCATACAGTTATATGTTGCATTTAAAATCTCGTGTATTACAGCCGTGAGTGTGTGTTAAAAACCCACAAATACGAAATTTCCGGATAAGAACTTGAGACTCTCATTCGTCATTGCAGATTGTACGAGTACAAATATCTATGTATTGTGTGAAAAGCAGTTGCCGGTGTCCCTCAGAAATAGACAGAAGGCAGGTTCTGTGCTATGTCAGGCAAAAGCTCTCGATCAGAATATTTTAAAAATAAATAATCATTAGCCTTGAACAGCTCTGTATTGCGAAACTACATATATCACAGTAAAGAACATTAAGCTGCTGGCGCCAGCGAGGACTCCAGTGCATTGTTATCATCGTGCAGCGGTCCGATAAGTTTTCTGGCGATGATATCAACAAAGCTGACGAAATGCCGAATGTGCCTGCAACCAGTAAAACAAAGCACAGTCTTAAGCAAAATAATTTGATTTCGGAAATTAAACCGTCGCTGCACTTTTACCTTAGCCTTCGCTTGTTGCGCTGCTGCTTATCATATCCCAACAGCATCGCAACTGTAACGTGGAAGAGAAGATATCCCTCCCGAACGGCTCTTCGCGGATGCAACAGGGCGCTGACGACGGTAATCATAATCACATACATCACTTCCAGTGGAAGGATCCACGGGAGCGTCATACATTTGATCAAGTGCAGCAGACAGACGAATTGGTTGCTAGCTCGGCCAAATTCTGTAGACAGTATTGGTACACGCATGATGAAGTCACCAATTTGAAAGTGAACTTTACTGTTAATAACTTAATAATGCATCAAACCAATGATGTGTGACCTTCGGATAGCGGGTCGGGTTGCCGATTAATGGTCCGTCGTTGTAAATTACGTGGCTGATCCTGCCCTTCATTTGCGCTGTTAGCCGCGGACTCGTGATAGGCAGAACGATTTTGACGATCCACCGGTCGGGGAATGTCCATATCACCCAAAACTAAACCGCAAATAATTGGTTGCTGAACATTATACTTCTATCAATAAAAAAATGTTAATGAATTGAGTCGGACGTGCATATATGTTAATCTCAGAACATATATATATATATATATATATATATATATATATATATATATATATATATATATATATATATATATATATATATATATTATATATCCGATACGGTAATCCGTAATGGTTACCCATGACGGTTAAGTAGTTTTGTTTAACACTCGCACAATTTCACATTCGATTTACGTCGGCTTTTCCTGTGCGCCGGCCAGGCAGCGCCAATCACGATCGTGCAACACGCCCATTTCCGGCTGTGTTACGAGGCTTTTGCACACTCGCGCCAAATTTAACATTCCGTTACAGAATCGAAAATTCAGTTTGTCTGATCTTGGATTTTTTTATCCTCTCATAACTCATTTACTTTGTGCTTTTCAGAGTGCAGAGTTAGTTCCGATATTTAATAAATCTGGGTCGACCTATTTTAGTTTTGTAAATTCTTATCATCGATATTACGGAGCATTGACTTGCAGATCAAGATTGGGACGCTCAGTTAATATTCCATTTGCCTGCGAAAATTGCGTTGTTTGAACAGTAACTCGTTTCTTCAAAGTCTGCAATATCAACCGTAGCTCAAAAACACAGCCAGCAGCGCACATCCGCAGAATCTGTGAGGAAAGAAGGTGGATGTTATGTTTACATTTCAAAGAGGAGTCGACTCCTGGGTAGTCAATCAAGTTAGCAGTGTTGATCTGAGCCGTCATTGTGGCGAATCCGGTTGTTAGTTTTGCGAGATGGACTCGTCTGGGAAGTCGAGGCTCCCATTTACTCTGAGGAACTGATCTCTACTTTATTACGCTATTTCCAGATAACAACAACAACGTAACAAACTGCTTATCTTCTGACGTTTCTTCAGTGAGCTCTTCGCTTTCTGTGTAAACCAGCTGTTACCAGCAATTCAATTTGCTCTGTGCGTGTTGTTACACGGTTGCTGTGCAGGTCGACCTCAGATGTGGTGTTCACACGGCTCCTAATGAGCAAATGATATTTCAGAATTTTAATTCATTTTCTGGAGCGAAACCAACATTATCAATATTAAGAAGAAATGAAGAATACCGAATAATAAAAATGCCTCAAATACTCAAATAATCAACAAATGAAACATTAGTAAAATCAAATCAGCGCAGTCAGCTACAAAGCCAGTCCGAGGGAGACGGTGAAACCGCGGACAGAGCGATTTTTACAGTCTCTTGTGTCACAAACGTCTCTTCCCGTATCAACAAACTAATTTTCCCTAAGTATAAACCGGTATTAAAATATGCTGAATAGCAGGATCTAGCAACGTACGTTGTCTGATTCCAAAACAAAAAATCTGGTCGAGCGTAAGCAGGGAAAACGTGTGCCACTTCCGGTTCGGGAGTGTTCCCGTTTCTGTTGGCTAACAATAACACAGTTGTTCTGTTTTCCTAAAATTTTAGCTAGTTCTATAGCTTATCAAATTCTCTAGGAATACATATAAGGCTAAAGAGCGTGGCACATCTGCAGAATTTGTTCTTGGTTTTTTAAGCATTTATTGCGCCTGAGCGGCAGTAGAAATTGTGCGAGTGTTAACTTGCTACTTCGCTCGCTTCGCTGCGCTCGCTCGCGCCGCAGCTTGGCGTCGCCTTCGGCTCCGCCTTCGATATAGATAGTAACGGTCACTTGCTTCGGTACCGTTAGAGTAGCGCGTAAGGGTATTCCATTACGAAACGCCGTAACGGTAACCCGTAATGCTGACTCATTACGGTAACCCATAATTGTAACCCATTACGGTAACGTAATATATTACGTAGCCCATTACGTAATGGTAACCCATTACGGTAACCGGTAACAGTGAACATTATGTTAGGAGTAAAAATGGCAAAAGTAAAAATGAAATTCATATTGATAAAAGTCATTTCGTTTAGCTTGCTGCTCCGCTCGCTAAGACAACGGACAATCCTAATTAAACCGCATTGGTAACCCACTACGGTGCCCGCAGTGGCACGTTATTACTTTAGTCCACGCTACCACTATAACAGCGGTAGCGTGGGTAACGGTAGCGGTGGCGCCCATGGTGTTTACGGTTAGGTAACGCTAGGTAACAGTGGTAACGCCGGGCAACAGTGGTAACGCTTGGTAAGACTGGTATCAGTGGTAACGGTAACGGTGGTTGCTATTTCTGACCTTTCGATACTTTTTCCAGTTGTGTGATCCAGTTACACCATGGTAACACATTGCGGTAATGGTATTGAAGTTCAACGGATTGTAGGCGTGGTCTCGAAGTGAACCCGATGAACCAAGCTATTTTACCCAATTGTTTATGGTCAGTTTTATTCAGTTTTTCTTGCTGATTCTGAAAAACGAAGAATTTTGGTCATGTGAGCTTTCCGTACCATGGTTTCAATGGTCACGTGACCGTTTTCTGCTTATAACTATGTCCAGTGACCTTTCGATGACCTTTAACCTCGATGGTCTAACTCAACTCGACCTGGCCAACAAAGTAAGTTAGTGGTTCAGGTGGTTCAGTTGTTGGTTCACTGCGTTCACTAAAATCCTTGTTTCAGAGTGACCTTTATAAATCTCGAGAATTTCCTCAAAACATATATTTACAACATAAGCTCAAAAGTCTTAGAATTTTATGAATGTTAATAAAAAGTTGGTTTCAGCGATAGACGAAGATGCCGTGGGGGGTGATTTTGATCTATATTACTATTACATGCTGGCCGGTCGACATAGAGGGTGTCGACATGGTGCTCTCAATTCACCTTCGGTGAATACGAGTGTCTGTAATAGGTATTGGACCGTTCGCATTGAGCCCATAAGAGTTATTCTTCCGTAATTAGTTTGTTTCATTTGTTGTTGTTTTTAATAGTTAAATTTTCCTTAAACATAATCAAAATCAAATCAGAAAGCCAAATGTAAGTCAGAAGTAAAATGTAAAAAACGGGGTACGCAAAAATAGGCAACAACATTATGTCCTTTTGTCTCACTTGCTGCTCCGCTCGCTTCGCTGCGCTCGCTCGCGCCGCAGCTCGGCGTCGCCTTCGGCTCCGCCTTCGGTTTCATTCGTATTGATAGTTCTTTATGGGTTCGGTATGGTAACGGTAACCCGTTATGGTAACGGTAACCCGCTACGGTAACGGTAACGGTAATCCGTTACGGTAACGGTAACCCGTTACGGTAACGGTAACGGTAACCCGTTACGGTAACGGTAACGGTAATCAAACCGGTAACGCGTTACGGTGACGGTAACCCGTTACGGTAACGGTTACCTGTTACGGTAACGGTAACCCGTTACGGTAACGGTAACCGTAATCCGTTACGGTTACGGTAACCCGTTACGGTAACGGTAACGGTAACCCGTTACGGTAACGGTAACGGTAACCCGTTACGGTAACGGTAACCCGTTACGCTTACGGTAACGGTACCGTTACCGTAACGGTAACCCGTTACGCTAACGGTAACGGTAACCCGTTACCGTGGGCGTGGTTACCAAATGAACCCGGTGAACGGAACTATTTTGCCAAATTGTTTATGGACAGTTTTGTTTCGTTTTTCTTCCTGATTCTAAAAAGGTGTAAATTTTGGTCAAGTGACCTTTCATTACCATAGTTTCGGTGGTCACGTGACCGTTTTCTTCTTATAACTATAGTTGGTGACCTTTTGGTGACCTTTAGTCCGCGCGACCTAACTCAGCTCAACTCGCTCTGCAAAACGGCACATTGGTTCATGTGGTTCGGCTGTTGGTTCACTGCGTTCACCAAAATCCTCAGTTTAGAATGAATCCTATGAATCTCGTGATTTTCCTGAAAAGCCATATTTAGAAGTGCCTCTCAAAAGTCTTACAATTGTTCAAACTGTTGTAGATGTTTTGTTTCAGAGTGTCTAATATCATACCAGGTACCCCCATTTCTAAACATATTACTATTACAGACATAACAGACATAATATATATATATATATATGTATATATATATATATATATATATATATATATATATATATATATATATATATATATATATATATATATATATATATATATCCTAATTCAGATCTATATAGCCACGAATGGGATACACCAGAGCCGGCAAACCAGAAAAGACTGACCCAAACCAGTATTATATTCTGAAAGCCCGTAGTCAAAAACCTGGCCAGATAGTATTCATTTCTTTCAAAACGCCTTGGAACGCCAGAGCGGAAAAGTTTCGACTACCTTAACCAGGCAATGTTGCCACGTAAACGAAATAAAATGTAACTAAAAAATGAAAGTCATTTCTACTATTTAAACTATCAGAACGAATTTAATTAGCAGACCGTTATTACAACAAGAACGACTATATATTAACGTTGTCATCGAGGACAATTTCTGCACAAATGCCGGCCGACCAAACTACCGGTAGGATCCGGTGTACGGGGCTACCAAGCTACCAATACTGTTCAATACTGTGCGGTGCACTGAGCCCGTTAGGCGAAAGATTGACCAAGCAACCGGTACTCTCCAGGGAACGGGACCCGTTAGGTGAACGGGTGATCAAGCAGCCGGTACTGTCCAGCGCAGATAGCCCGTTAGGCAAACAAGCTAGCCGGTGACCGAGTTAGCGGATGGCCGAGCACGGGACCCGTTAGGTGAGCGGATGCCGAGCTACCGGTACTGTCCAGTGTACCGGACCCGTTAGGTAAGCGTGTGACCGAGCTACCGGTACTGATCAGTGTACGGGACCCGATAGGTTAGCGGGTGACCGAGCTACCAGTACTGTCCAGTGTACGGGGCCCGTTAGGTAAGAGGGTGACCGAGCTACCAGTACTGTCCAGTGTACGGGGCCCGTTATGTGAGCGGGTGACTGAGTTACCGGTACTGTCCAGTGTACCCGAGCTGGTGACCGAGCTATCGGTACTGTCCAATGTACGGGACCCGTTAGGTGAGCTGGTGACCGAGGTACCGGTACTGTCCAGTGTACCGGACCCGTTAGGTAAGCGGGTGGCCAAGCAGGCGATTCTATCCACCGCAAATGTCCCGTTAGGTAAACGATTATGCTTCGTATGTACCGATTATGCTTCGACCATGTATCGATTACCATGTACCGATTATGCTTCGACGAAATATGTTATTTTAATGAAGATTGGTACAAATTCTTCATTTGATTGTTATTACTGAGCGTAGCTCGCCACATACATATTGAGAGATTAAATCCTTTTAATAAATATTAATTACTTAATAAAGTGGACGTTGACCACAAGAAACGCGGAGGCGAAGCCGAGGCTGTTTCTTGTATATATATAATATACGGTACAATGATATTTTGATACGCTATACATGTTGGTCACAAAAAAGGTTGATTTTCAAAGAAACTCCAGGATATAAACACGTACTGATATCTTTGATGTAGCGTCTGGCATCCTGATATCCTTCCCAGTAAATTTTTTCCAGGATTTCCGGGGAGGAGGGATACAGTGTTACGGAGAAACGGAAAAAGTTTTTGGCGGTAAGGCGGATATGATGGTTGGAGAAGTAGATGTCTAGAAACGCTGACGATGCATCCAACGGGCAAATATCACTTTCGCCTGAGAACGGGGATACCGTAATGGAGCGCTCATCGTAAATGGGCAGATTGTCGGTAAGGAAGCCATCCCAGTAATACTATAAAAGCATGATTACTCGTATTGCTCAGTGTGGCAGTCTTTCCTTTAAAGCTGTACTAATTATGATAATAAAGATAAAAAGTCCATTACACAGATTAAAACCTAACGCTCAGGTGCGGTGTGCGGTGTAACATTGCGCTGGTCCAGTAATGAATCAAAAATTCTGTATGTCCACGCACTCACGGTGTTTCTGTACAGCGGTGGAACGATGCCGGAAATAAATGGAACAAACGATGAGCAAACGACAGCCTACAAAGATGAAAATAGCGAAGTGAAAGTGTTCAGATTTGCTTTCGCCCATTCAAGCGCAGTTACTCAGTTAACTGCGATAAAGCTGTACGAAGACGCGCTAAGGAAGACAAAAAAACATACGTTAGCTAAGAATTTGTTTTACTGAATCCGCCCACGTACGAGAACGGTTGCTTAACTTGTGCAAGATCACAAACTTGCAATCTATATGCACTGTGCACTACAAACTGCACTTGCACTACAAATGCACTTGCACTACAAATTCATCTGATCAATTTGAGCAACGGGCTTATGTGATCAGCCAAGTACGTACATCAATGAGTTCTTCCCGGCTGGCAAAATTGTTGAGCACAACACCCTTCCCGTCGTAGCAGCGGGTCACCGACAATCGCAGCCGGTCGCGACACATCTCATGGGCGTTCGATGGGAGCATGTGTGTCAGAGCCCGCCGAATGGCTTTGGCTAGGCTGAAGCGCGGATTCAGTGGACCCAGCGGATGGGCACGCGTGGCACGTGCAACATCCATAATGCCCAGTAGCAAGTCCCCTATGATCAGCCAATCATTAAAGGCAGATCTGCATACGCCATCGCGGTTGCACATTGCACGTAAGAAGCAGTACATGTCAATTTCAGTATCGACGCATCAATCGCAGATGGTTTGACGTAAAGCCGGATCTTATACTGTACGGTACGTGTCAACCTGTCAGTTACATTCGGACTTAAACTGGTTTTACGGAAAGCCGGATCTTGCACTACGACCGTTTACAAGCAACAACAGCTTCCAGTAGGATGCCAAAGCGACATCGTACCCATCTAGATCTTCAACGGAACAACGGATATACCTAATTCAGCATCTCATTTTACAGTGCCAAAAATGACTGTGTAGATGAGCAAGATAATGTAAACGCTGTCACCTTCACGGTTCTGTAAATTCTACAGTACAACTGTACAAGTTACAAATCGGTAGATACAATCTTGCACAACAACAAATTAAGCTAGACAAGCAGGCTGCGAGCTGCATTTGCAAAATTCGCCTTCAGATTAAATTCAAAGAGAGAGAGGCTGCATTTGATACTATTTCCAGGTGTCAAATAAAGTTTTTTTTTCGAAATGATTTCATGTATTTACGATTGCTTACTGTCAAAAGGTCGGCATAGTAGACCGACAGCAGCCATAGCGCCAGCCGAACAACCGGCGGCTTTGTCTACTTCAATGTAATCTTCACACTCCCGCAAGAACCGAATTACTCCCGTGTGGTAAATTCCCATAAACCCGCATCCGGAAAACGACAAGGTTATTTTCTTTCTGGTCATTTTAGTGGAGGCGAAGCAGAAAAAATTACGGTCAGAACAGACAAAACTTAAATATCGCAAATTATTCAGCATCTGCCGGAAGCTGCAGCTCTGCGAATTACTTAGCTGCAGCCGGAAGTTGGACCAACATTCTTATTTTCATGTTGAAGAAAGAATTTTGCAGCAAAATGCTGGTTGTAGAAAGAGTGCCCTAAGGTGTTTTATCGTCAAGTTCGAGTGACCCCCGGCCGGTGCAGACACTGAAGCGGAGTGATGAAGAAGAAATGCCGGTGTTTGTCCGCAAAATGTCGCATACGTGTACAGCCTGCTATCCGTTTAAACAGTATTAAATTTACGTTGAAGATTTGCCTCCATGCCGTCTGCAAGCTATATAAGCCGTTCAGTGCAATTACATTCAATTTTACCTTTCACTAACAATCCCCTCGTATGTGTGATGTTGATGAGATCGATAATAAATATTTCGGATTGGTTCGTCAAAACTCAAAACCGGGTGCGAAAGGAAACTTTTGCGAAATATTTTCTGGTTGTTAATAGTGCTATAACCAAGGTATAGAGAAGAAAAGGAACTGACCTTATCCTATTAAAAGTTTTAAGGTCAATGCTGATATACCTATAACTTAACAGGTTTACATTAAATTTTATTTATTAAAATGCAGCCTGAATGTGGCTGTGTCGACGAGTACGATTAGGAGCATTATCATGGTAACGCTATTATGGTATCGCTTTATTATAAGCTTCCCATCTTTACCATTGTAGTATCGCCTATTTTTCCCTCAAAATCATATTGAGCGAAACTGCACACCGGAAATTTTTAGAAGCAATTTTGTGCTGCCGCCACTTTCTGAAATCGTGGCTGTTTGAAAGAAGCCGTAGGCACCAAATCAGATGGCGGAATAATATTTACGAAGTTACAGAAAATGAGCAACAGAGCAAACCAATAACAACGCAATAAAGAATCATAGCATATTTTACGAATTCGGAATTGCAACGACTCTGGCTAAACAGATAATAAAATATTAGAATTTTTAATAACAATACTGGGATAAGAAATCTTACGCATTCGCGAGCGAGTACTGATTTAATTTTAATTACATTTCTGCGAATGAATGCGAAATCAAACAGTGTGGGAACGTAGACGTGCCAGCATTTTTTATTAATGCAAAGAAAAATAGGGCGGGTTTAACATAATTTCTTTGAGAACCAGTTTTGGTTGCTTGTGAGGAGAATTAATGGCGTAAAAAGCGAAAGCGACACTGTACCCATACCAACTGATGTAACCATAACAAGAATTTTCTCGGCGGAAGTAGGACATTCGAGCGGTCATGCCTCCTAGGCATGTATCTGATTGTCAGAAACTGCACTGACTGTGGCTTCGGAGTCGAAAATTACAAGTAATGAATACCGCTTATAAATGCTGTTAAACTTTAGTCGCTAATGCACAAGCCAGGAAAAAATTTAGTACATGGGGAAAACGAAAACCAATTTGGGAAAGCGTATTTTATTATTGATGACATTCATTATAGACATGTAGCGAGTTATGAAATCAAAGAAATTAATCCCAAAATGTAATCATAAAATTGCAGCTTAAAGTACTGCTAACACCGGCAACCAGCTAGCAGCAATTATCTAATTTTCTAATTTAATAAATATACTATCCATGAAAAATATAATAGTTTTAAACTTTTAATTACCGCGATAATTTATGAAGCTGTACGAATACTTTTCTGGCTGATTACTGAGCAGTTAAAATGAGATTAGATGTTATAACAACGGGCGCATAAACATGTCTTTTAAATTTTTAGATGCTGCAAAGGTAAGGTAAACTGAGCGATTTTGTTAATGGAAATTCGTTTTTAAAATAGTTAGCGTTTTAATTAGTCAAGGCATACTGTTAAAACTTTGAGGACATTAAAGGATATTAAAGTAAATTATAAGCAGATAACAAAAAACGAATGGGAAACGTTTTGGGCTGCAAAAGTTAGAATATATTATACAGTGTTTTAATTGGTATATTGTATATTGTACGGAACTCCACACAAATTGGCTATGGCGCCAGCTTGTATGCAAGTATACATGCATAAAAATCCAGAATTTTTAAATTATTGGTTTGGAAGGCCGAACGACAAAGCCGCTTGCAAAGATGCGAAAAATAGGACAAGCAAGCGTAACTACTGTCAAGTGTCAAGTAAGAAGCACCGCCAGAACACGTGACATCTGGTCTTCGACCTTCACCGGCTCAAGGTCGTTTACAGCAAACTCAGCAGGACAACAAACATACTTCCGCTAGACATCGCGAAATTCGCTTAAACCACAGACGAGCGGCGATGCGTCCTAATCGCTGTTATGTAACCGCAGCTGTCTCTTTTCCACCAATCAGCAGGCAGCCTGTCGGCCGGACAAAGAGCCATTAAAACAGCGATGATTAACGGTTGGCGTCTGACTTTCTGACCCGCTATTACACAATCAACAGAACGCCGGAAAAATGCGGCGAATACATAATTCTCAACACACAGGAGGAAGATATGCCGCTCCAATTGTCTGCGGGCCTTCTTGACCCAGTTAAACAGTAAAAAAAATTAATGGCCTACTTAATAGGCGGGTTATGTAACTGGTATTGTATTGTACATGAGTGTCACTGTCGCGCGGAGCACTTTGGCGGCGGGAATTGCTTAATCACCCGGGCACGGCCTGACAGGAACTAAACTTGACATTGAGTATATAAGCCGCGCGACACCGCGGTGAACAATCATCACTCCAGTTGCCTGAGCAGTTTCAACTCGAGCCACAGTTACCGGCCTTTATATTCCTCAACTGCCCCTAACCCAAACCAACCATGCAGGCTATCCTCCTCTTCGCTCTCGTGGCTGCCGCCTCCGCTGCCAGCGTCAAAGTCCAGAACCCCATCGTCTGGTCCGCCCTGGATAACCTCCGCGGCCGCACCCGCCTGACCATCCCCGACCAGTACAACCTGATCGCCACCGCCCGCGCCGGCCAGGACTACCCCAACAACGTCGTCATCCCGCAGAGCGACTTCGACTGCACCAAGACCCACCAGCCCGGTTTCTATGCCGATAACTCCCCGCAGTCCCGCTGCCAAGGTAAGCGCCGCCCCCTATACCTCTCCAACCCATCCTAAAGGTCACTTTTTATTACAGTCTTCCACCGATGCGACATCAACGGCAACCAGACCTCGTATCTGTGCCCCAACATGACTGTACGTCACCGTGCGTTCTGATTGGCTGATTCGTTTTCTGATTGGTGCGTGTGTTTGCAGGTGTTCAACCAGATCACCCTGGTCTGCAACTGGTGGTTCGATGTTGATTGCAGCAAGGCCACCACTTTCTATGACTACTCCAACAGCCGTCTGTACCAGGGCATCAGCGTGCCCCTGCTGGATGACAACACCGTCCGTGCCGTCACTGGCGCCGTTGCCTCTGGCCGTGCCAACGCTGGTCAGGCCCCCGCCCCCGAAGCTGAAGCCGAAGCCGCTCCCGCTGAAGGTGAGGCTCCTGCTGCTGCCGAATAAATTCTCAGGATCCATCCGAAGAGAACAAAGATAGCACAAGGGACAATGATACTATTAAGAACTTAAAAGATCGACAACGCATTATTTCGTAAATGCTTTGCTCAATAATGCATTTTTGTATCGTCGAAAAGACCGTTTTGGGGATGCTCGGCTTGGATGTTGGTAATCCAGCTGCTGCAAAAAAATAAAAAATGGGAATACTGGATAGAGTATGTTTACGAGCTATGTAGAATCGTGGTTACAACTTATCACAGACAGACAGAAGTGTCATCATAAATTAAGCAACTTTCCAAACTGATATTAGCGCCAAACCGGCTTTTCTTTTGTAAGCTTTGCCCTCGCCAAAAATGCTCAGAATTTCCCGATTTACTACGTATAATTTTACCTTACCATTTATTTTACTCGTACAATTGTTAGCAGCAACCTGCCTGCAACATAAATGAAAAAGCAATACTTGAAATGTAAAGGCTATTTGACACCCAAAATCTGGACGAGCAGAATTCCTGCCGGTTATTCTCATTACTACACGTATATCGATAGTCATGTATTTTGACGTACCAAGACAGTTTGACAATCTATTCAGAATGTTACTAGCTACGAAGTTTTCGGATGCAGGTAACTAGAGCGACGACTTCCTTGTGTCGCTACCGCTTCCACAGTCTGTATTTTGATGGATGTTTCTGTACAATGGGTACAAGTACATGTATCACCGAAGCCGCACGATCGCTCCAACCGGTTTTAAGATTGCACAAGTTGAATGGAAATTAAATGCAGCTGTCCTAGTGCAATATATTAGGCAATAAATCTTTATAACTGCAAGTGAGCATATCATACATTCATTATTAAGCATAGAGAAATAACAAACCAACGTATGTAATAATGTACACCATCACCATCAACTAAACATATGGAGCAGCGCCACCTGAAGCACTGAGCCAATAAATTAAGTTGTTTGTTTTTTTTTCGACATGCCGGTACTTACAGAACATAAAAACCGCAGATGCTTCCAGTGAAACCATGTACATATAAGGACTAATTACGTTTTTCTGTAACACACTGTATATAAAATGACCAGTACTTCATTTGTCGGTACATTCGGCCTTGTCGGCGCAATACAATGCGTGATAACAAGCAGCAGCAAAAGCCGTATAAAAGGTAAGAACCACGTGCGCTTCGCGCTACTCAGTTCGCATCGAACAGTCTATATTATTCTGTTCCAGACTACATTATTACTTCCCAATCCGTCACATGACAGTAATACTTTTGGAAAAAAATTAACAGATTTACTTTGAGCGCGTATCCACTATGTCGGCTCGGGTGTGCCGGACGGTATCAGTTCCAACCAACTATTCCGCTGCGACACTTCATTCAGAGGCGTGGCGTTACCGGTATTGTTGATGTGCCTATGCCCACGCTTTTTTTCCTTAGACGTCGTCATTAATATGTCATCAAAAGATACCTAAAAAAACCACGTTCCCGACGTATCAGTCCCGCAAATTTTGGTAGAATATAGTATTACAACAGGAAAGAAAGAGAAGGAGAAACTGACTCCGTATTTGCGAAATCTTCGCAGTCCATTCTGAAAATAATCGGCAACCGCCACAATCAGCGACAGCACCAGGCCAGCGGCGAGTATCACGAACAATCCAGCCAGTTCGATAGGATTCAGAGCAGTCAGATCAGTAGCATCCTAAAACAAATTTCTAGCATTACAAAAGCGTAGCATGGATTAACTTATACATACCGCACTGGAGCTGGTATCTTTCTGGTTCGCTTTAATGCATTCATCTGGAAAAACGTTTTTTGAATCAGATTACAGGCAATCGCCTAGGGTAGTGGGGGAAAAAATTAAGGCAAGCCCAAATTTAGCATGCTTTGTTGCGAACCCAAAAGCGCTAGCTTTGATTGAATGAGTTATACTCAACCAGAAAACAAGAATGTGACCTTTCTTACCTCTATGAAACCATTTTTTCTCCAACGTCCGTAATATTCCGTTCTCGTTTAAATACAGAATGGCTTCCGAAAAGATCTTCCGCAATGGTGAACCGGCCGCCATGGCAATGGCGTAATTGGAGTAGTATAACGGCTGTCCGACAATCCGCGTGTCACACGGCATTCCGGAGTTGGCAAACTCCGCCACAGTTTTCGGACCGATAAAGGCGAATTTGCTGTGCCGCACCCGATCCAGACCGGTTTGCAGACTGTCCACCGAGGTGTTCAGACGTTGCATCGTCTGCCACATGCGCTCATACAGATCCTCCTTGGAATTGTTGAAGAAATTATTGGAGGCCACGCTGGCCTCCAGGATGCCGTAGCGAATCTCGTCCTGGGCCACCAGATCATCCGCTGACTGAATGGGCGAGGTCATCCGGTTCAGTGTTAAAAACGCCGCTGCCAAAAGAAACGATTTTCCACATATGTACAAGCAAAAATTACACTGTTGTGATTTCTTTAAAATTTAAGGAAAATGGCCCTGTACATGGTGTCAAAACTGGGATACATACATTAAAACTTTCGCTTTCGCGCTCTCCGAAACCAATTTCATGGTCATAGTGTTATCCCAAGATTTCAAAATAAATTTTAAAAATTTTAAAATTCATTTTAAAATCGGAAAAAAATGCTATGAATCTGATGTTGGTTCACTTTCGACTTCACGGCCATGTGTCTTTTGCAGCAAAGTTTCAAGAAGATCGGGTAATAACCAGACCTTTGGTGCATCTAAACTTTTCGCCCATTTAATGCATTTAAACAATGCATTTAACAACGCATTTAATTTAAACAGTGCACTAAAACTTTTCGCCCATTTTAGTACGCCATATCTCGGCAACCGGATGTTGCGCGCGCAAACGGTTTTCAGAATAATGTTTACAAATCATTCAGCTTTAGAATGACATAAAGTATTATAAAAAATTGATTCGTAGTGCGCGAAAGCGAAAGTTTTAGTAAATGTATCCCATAATTGACGCTATGTACCGGGCCATTTTTCTTAAACTTAATAGACACGGCAAGTCAATTATAAATGTCATCCATCATATTGAATGTTTTGTTGCCGATAACGTACGATTAATGCAAGCTGCAAATAAAATTTTAAAAAAATGGGTTTCTGAACTTGTTTTACTGACCTAAATTAGCGGTGTAGGTGGAACACACGATCAGCGCCCAAATGTACCACGAGCCAACAGCAATTTTTGTAGCACACGAGCGGGGTGAAATGTTCGGCCCTTGCTGTAGCAACGTTGCTGCCATCAGCCACTAAAAAATTATTTTTGCACTGAATTTTCATCGTTATATTCACTACCCTAGTGATGGTTCAGGTTCCCAATGACTGCTGCATAAGTACCAAAGATTCCTGCACGGTGTACTCATTAATCAGGGTACGGTTGGCGATACGGTGATAGTCTGCTGGCCGATGCCATTCCGCCGACGACAACCGTCCCACCACGTACACAACAACAAAGGTGATCAGCAGGGCCAACGCTAGTGACAGCCACAGCGGCGCGGAGAAGGGCTGCATAAAACTGAATAACTGCAGCATTCGGTGTTCGTCTTTCTTCATTAGAATGACGAAACCGTCGTTCATAAAGGGTATGGTAAAGTCCATGACGGCTTCCCGCTCCGAGATGACCCCCAGATCGGCCACAATCATATCAACATTCTAGAACGTAAAATCTAGCTTTTGAAAAATTTATTACCGCAAATTATACATAATAACTCACATTATTTTTATTTAAATAACTTAACTCGGTATTAGATTAATAAACGAATATCTTCTAATAAATTAATTAGGTTTAAGTTTCAATCCAAATGATTTTATGGATGCTCATGCTCTTCTAAGAACAGAATCACGTAAATGAAATTGCGATTGAAATAGCAAAATCATGCACCTTGCGCAGCAGTTCTCCGACAGCTCCGGTCCATGTTCCATTAATAAAGTTCCCGTAATAATATTTTCCCTGGCTGTGATGGAAAGCGAAGGTGTAACTGGTGATAGCCTGCAACTCGTGAATGAGATCGACAATATATCCCACGTAGCACAGTGTCACGTCGGAACTGCTAGGAAAAGGCACCGGTATTCTGTACACGTAGGATGTGCCGTTGCAGGGTTCCCGCATCAAGAACCGGTCTGTCTATCAAACAGTTGGATTCCAGTGCCAATTAAAACACCGAAAATGACAGCATACCAAAACTCCCACAACTTTCAAGACCGTTTTTCCCTCGGTGCGATTTACCGGCAGCAGCTGAAATCCACTTGTATCGCTCCATGTAGCTTTCTACAAGATGCAGTTTTAGAAATCAACGCTCTGCAGAAATGGGCGTTATTGATATACACCTTTGTTAGGACAGCCCCGTTCAGCGACTCCATTATATCCAGCCGATAATTCTTCCTTCTTCCACTTTCGTTGAACTCCAGTGCACCGGTCAGCCCCGTGTAGTTTGCCTGATGAAAGAAACAGTGAGAATGTACATATATATTCCTGCATTCTAAAATATGGAGCACTACAAAAAGCAAGCAATATAATATTGGCGAAATATTCTGCTTACATTTCGTAGCAAGGATATTAATGCTTCGCCATCTTTCCATGTACCAAGTGGAACTGTTGCACAATCTAAAACGGATGTGCGGGAATAACTGAGTTCCTTCGCTGCCGATTGGATCAGATTAACCGCGTCCAGATTCAATGCGTCTTCCGTCTAAAATAAGATGGACACCATAAAGACTCGTTGCTCGCTACACGTGAGAACGAAACAATTACGGTTTTCATGCTGGCCTGGTCGTCCGCCACTTTCACATTGTACAGCATGGATAGCGTCGTGATACTGTTGGAGGTTAATCGCAGCGTTTCAAAACTGACCGCCTCCGCTTCCTGCGCTTGGATAGAAGCACAGCTTTACGTTAGACATACACTTTCAATTGGCAAGCACAATTACCAAAGACGCTATAACGAAATGGTAATTTCGCTGACGCACGGCATCATTATTGAACATCACCGTCAGCAGGGTGTTGATGAACGTAGCCGGTAGGTCAAGAACGATATTCCATTTGCGAATGGTGTACCGTAGTACTGTCGTCGAGATGTACTTAGCCGCATTACTGGCCGAATGGGCGAGAATAAAGGTCACATAAGGCAGCTTCCTTGGCCGTCCCGTATCCGCCAGGTGCTGGTTGTACGTCAGCACGGATTGGCTATGTTCTGTACAGTATAAGCATAAGTTCTTTATTAGCATCATTGTACTTACGTCAGCTGTTGAAAAAAAAACAATCCTATCGCGATATTGTCGTACTTGTTGGTGATTCGGTGACATAGATGGCTTCCGTCCAGTTATACAGCATTCCAACAATATCCATCACCGGCGTTAAAGTTGCTGGTTGGACATTCAACATGTACGACGCAGTCTTGTCCTGATTGGCGACAGCAGGCTGGTACGCGCTGTTAACCACCAGAGGAATGTGCAGCGCTTGGCTATGGGAATACAGCTGCGCGACGGTCTCCGCACTGCACAGTCCCAACCACATGTGTGCTGCATCTTTAACGTTGCGACACACTGTAAACAGTAAACACCATTTTTGGTACCTGGCATTCATTTTGTTTAAATGCTGCTGCCGGTACTTGGTCAACTCACCGGCATTATAATTGTAGAATGTATCGTTACTTCGCAGTGCCACTGTGGTGGCATTCAAGGGAAATCCAGTATGGTTCAACGGTGATTTATTGATTTGGGTGATTGACGCTGGTTCCCGTTCGTCAATAAAGACAGCTATAAATTAAAGCCCTGTCATAGTGGATAGATGACTCTACCGAGTAAAACTTACTGATAGGAGCTGATTGTAGCGTACTGGCCTGTATTGAGTGACAAATGAAAAAAAATAAAACAAATTTAAAGGAAGACAGTATTCTGGAAAGCATGGTAGAGAACTCTGCAATGTGAACGCTGTGTAATTTTGTTATTATTATTATTACAGTTCGCTAAAGATACCGCAACAGTGGACCTGATTATCCGCGGCTTAATCCGCCTGGCAGGCATTTTATTTCTACTTTCGGCTTCTACTTAACGAAGGCAGGGAGGTTGAACCTCGGTAATATACTTTGATAACAATGTCGGTCGTTAGCGTAGAACAACGACAACTATCTGTAGTGCTGGAAGGCACGTATACACAACCGTTTCGTAAACTGGTTCATAAACTATCGCAGCGGTTAAGATCCTCCAAACATAAGCACAAAATACCAGATATCTACTAGGGTGCACTGAATTTTCTCCGGGACAGCATAACGTAATATTTTGTGCTGGACAGTCAGTACAAAATCCGGCATACCGGCTTATCTACCGTAGCAAAAAAAATTTTGCCCGCGTGAAACATTCTGACAAAGCAATTATCCAGTACTCGTACTTGTATGGCACTTAGCGTGCGGGGAAATTATGCTGACGGCAAAGCGCCAGTTTTGTTGAACCAGACTGAACTGCAGTTCATCGAAACTAATGCAGCGTCAGCTGTAATGTTGCAGTACATGCGGCACGGATTAGAGGGTACTAGTTAACAGATAAAAAAACTGAGAATGAAGACATCAGGATCGAGTAGTGTTCTCTAATAACAGTCTTGATTTGGAACCATTGGCACATAGTTAGCCCGAGCCCCTGCATATCCGAATGCTATTAATGTCTATCGCGCGCAGCCACTGTACCGGGTAGCTTTAGTTCCAGCCAACTGTTTTGGGAGGAGGAGGCATCCATGGATGTTAAATTCATTTCGGATTGATTCTCCGTAGCGCTCTGATCCGTTGGTTTTCGCGCGGTCAAGAGGATTTCGTTGAACGTCACCTAGGGAACTTTTGTCACATAATGCACGCCGAATACAAGGTAAACCATGACAAACCCCGTATTTGCGGAACCGACGCCGTCCAATGCGAAAGTATTCGCCCAGCGCCACGGCCACCGACACTGTCAGTCCAATAGCGAGGATGAGAAACAAACCGGACACCTCGTTTGGATTCAAAGGAATTAGATTTCCGGCACCCTGTGGAAACAACATTTACCGTATCATAAAAAATGCCGGGAAAACAGAAACCCTTCGATGATTAGCGCGATGCACGGCTATGTTTAGCTCATCGTCTTTTAAAACTGTGATTCCTTTGTAACCAAAATCCATGTTTTCAGAGCCAGTAATATTATACAACAGTGCACAAGTTCCTTACCGAATTTCCATCGCCGCTTGTGCATTCATCTAAAAATAAATCACCTTCCGTATTGACGCTTTTCTACACCCTTGGGTATTAAAAGTGCAAACCTCTGCTGAACCATTTCTTTTCCAGGGTCTTTAGTACGCCGTTCTCGTTCAGTTTTAGTATGGCTTCAGAGAATGTCTTCCGAAGCGGTGAACCCGAGAACACCGCCACCGCGTAATTAGCGTAGTACAGCGGCTGTCCGACGATGCGTGTATCACACGGCTGTCCCTGATCGGCAAAGTCCACCACGGTCTTCGGGCCGATAAACGCGAACTTCCCTTGACGCACACGCTCCAGTCCGGTCTTCACGCTGTCTACCAAGGTGTCACGCCGCTGCATGGTGTTCCACATTCGCTCGTATATCGGTTCTTTGGAATTACGGAAGAAATTCGTGGAGGCCATGTTAGCTTCCAGAATACCGTAGCGAACCTCATCTTGACCGACCAGATCATCCACGGACTGAATGGTCGAGGTCATGCGGTTCAGGGTCAGGAAGGCCGCTGCAAGTTTATTCTCCTTTGATCAGTGATTGGTTCGGTCATGAGCAAGTTTCAACAGAGCTCATTGCCAGTTGCAATAATGTGAAGCACCACATCACCATGCAGCGAAAAACTATCTCTTGTTACTGTACGTACCGAGGTTAGCCGTGTAAGTGGCGCACACAATAAACCCCCAAATGTACCAGGAGCCAACAGCAATTTTCGTGGCGCAGGATTGCGGCGCGATGTTGGGTCCTTGTTGTAAAAGTGTAACGATCATCAGCCACTACAAGAAAGTCCATTATTTGGTCGTTTGTTCACCACTCAAAAAAATTAATTACAAAGACTGAATCAGGCAGCGAAGAGAGTCGTAATACGATATGAGAGCAAACTTAACAAACATTAACGCCTAATAAAATTAGCGCGCAGTCGACTAGAACCATAAAAATTAATTATAGTTAGCAGTAGCCCCGAATGCGGCCAGGAGTTAATCCTAGCACTGCGGATCTTGAAAGTTCGCTCAAGCGAACACGGAAGATCGTAACAGTACGCTGGTGAACCTACCAAGGATTCCTGTGGAGTAAACTGGTTTTCTAGACGCCGGTGTCCGTTGCGCGGCTGGTCCGACGGCCGCTGCCACTCCATCGCCGACAACCGGCCGACCAGTAGGACAATCACAAAGGACACGATGAGGGCCAGCAGCAGGGATACCCATAAGCGCGCGGAAAACGGCGACATGAAGCTGAAAATATCGAAGGTCTTCTGTGCGTCCTTCTGCATCAGGATAATGAAACCGTCATTCATAAAGGGGATCGTGAAATCCAGCACAGATTCCCGCTCGGCAATGACGCTCAGGTCGCCGACAATCAGGTCCGCATTCTACACCAACAAACAATAAGGAAATAAAATTCTGGCAATCATAAAGAAAATTGTTTTGGCTACAACTTGTAAATCTTGCCGGTGACCTTTTGTAGGAGTTCGCCAACAGCGCCGGTCCATGTGCCGTTGATATTGTTACCGTAGTAATAGTGGCCTTGACTGTGGTGGAGTTTAAAGGTGTTACCCGTGATCTCGAATTCGTGCAGGAGATCCACCACGAATCCCGTGTAGCACTGATCGGAAGCGGCCGCGTCAGCGCTGCTCGATGATAACCGTATCGTCCGCACGTCGGGAGTGGAGTTGCACGCATTGATCATCAGGAATCTGTCCGTCTGCGAAATGCCGCCGTTGTCGTCGGATTAACGGAAGAAAAAGCGGTGTGCTGTAAGGAGTCATACCAGTATTCCTACAACTTTGAGAGGAGTCTTGGCATCTCCGGTATCGTTATTTAGAAGATGCAGCCCGTTGGTGTCACTCCACACTGCTCTCTAAAATTCCCCAATACTTTGTAGTTTCTCTGTTTCATCATTGTAATTTTAGGTCCCGGTGAGAAACCCAACGGTTGAAACTGTGATATGCGTTATCATTTTTATTCACCGGCAATAGTTTAGTGCCTATTGCCTACTGCTCTGCTCACTTTAGTCAGATTTCGTCCGTGGAGCGACTCCATAACCCCGAACTGGTACCCTTTGCGGTTGCCTGTCGCGTTGAACGTTAACTTTCCCGTCAGTCCATTGTACGAGTGCTACAACACGTTGAAAAATATGTAGTTTTCTTTATATATACTCGTATAACATTTCCCCAGCAAATTTCGTACAGTCCTCAGTAGTCCTATGGTATTTTCGCCATTTGCCCAGGTATCGTATGGAGCAGCTGCACAGTCTAGCGAAATATTTCGCTTAGACGCGCCCAGACTTGGAGTAGCAGACTGAATGAAACCCAAGGCGTCGCGCACTAATGCGTCCTCCGTCTGTCAACGGCGTTTTTTGGATAAAATAAAAATTGCTCTGGCGTCCATTTAATTTCTCAACGAACCGTGATTTTAGCGGAGTCGTCGAGCATGGACAAGGCTGTGAAGCTGTTGGAAGAATATCGCAGAATATCGCGAGCGATTTCTTGGTAGTCCTACCATGCTAACGCAAGGTCAGTTAGGAGACACTGTTACTTTAAAGCAAAAGAAAGTAGAAGAATGACGCTGATCAGTTGATTATTCGGTATTTCTTTGAAATTGCAAGAGAAAAGCCAACATACCAGAGATGCCAGGACAAAGTGGAAATGCCGCTGGCGCACCATGTCATCCTGCAGCATAACCCGCAGAATGGCGTTGACCATTCCCACCGGCATATCGAAGATAATCTGGCTTTCCCGTATCGGACTACGCAGAACGGTTGCCTTGATAAGGGCGCCGGCTTCCTCCACCGAATGGACAATAAAATGTCGCATGTACGGTTTCAGTACTTCATTGCCTAACTGCGACAATTGACGGGAATATAGTAGTAGTGATTGGTCAAATTCTGCAATAATTTTAGACACCGCAAATATGTAATCTGTTCAGCCGTTAAAATCGATGTAACGTCACAAGCGATAAATCTGCCGAAAAAGCATACTTGTCTGTGAATCCGTGATGTACAGTACCTCCGTCCAGTTGTACAGCTTACGGACAATCTCCCCCACGGCCGTCATAGTAGGCGGGCGCACATTCAGCACATAGGACGGTTGTTCGGTGGATACGTGATACGCCGCGCTGATGACCAGTGGAATGTGCATAGCTTGGCTGAACGATGCCAGTTGCCGGCACACATCCGCACTGCATAGTCCCAACCATAATCCCGAGCCCTGTCGAAGGGTCCTGCACACTAATAAGGATAGATTAGTTTTTTCTAGGAGAACTGTCACTAAACGCTGCTTACTGAATTAGCACAGGACGCAGGGTAAATCAGAGGATCTACTGGAACCTCAGTTCTGGTACACTGAAATTCGATGATCAGACGTTTTCTGCATATTGCGCAGACCAGTGCTTTTTCTGTTCGAGGCGAGCACGGACTATTTGTGTTCTGGTGCACGCCGGTGATTATTTAATTTGATTTTGGAATTTGTAAGCCGCCGACAGATTGGCTGTTTTCCACTTTTTTGGCATGAACATGCTCTATACACATATAATGCCGGCGTTTTTAACCCAACCCGAATATGCAATAAGTGTTTTATTAAACGCCCAGGGCGTTATAATGCACTTATGAATTTGCAAGATATCATCTTTACTTAAAGCAGCTAATCGTAACCGCTAAACGTCTGCGGATTTAGAGAACAGCTTAAACTTAAGAGCGCCGGTGAAAGTTAGTATGTAATCTTTCTAGTTTCTACAAAATATATGAACACTGGTTTTATTGCTTCGCTTGGCGCGTCCTGCCTCAACACAGTAGCATGCGCTCAAACTATAGCGTAGCGCTATAGCCCAAAATCAAATTACCGGCATTGGTAACGTGGACGGTGGTACTGTTCAGTGGAACCAGGGAGAATATCTCCGACGGAATTTGTAGCCGGGTTGCGTTGATTCCCGAATCCCCATCCATAAAGACAGCTGAAAAAAAGTCAAGGACGTTATAATAATGTGGGCATGTCCATAATGCTAACCGCTTACGTACTAATTGGTTGTAGTTGTTGTTGGCTGTGTGTCACCATCAATAACACAATGGTCAGCCAAATACTGAGCCAGACAAACAATCCGGAAGTTCCCATAATTTGCCAAAAGATTAGGCTAATAAAACGCCTATAATGGCAGTAAGAGATTTATTGTTTTTTTGCAATAACTTCAGACATTACAACGGTTTCTACGGCTTGTCAGCGGCATGGATAGTGAAGTGCATTTCTGCCTGCCAGGCATATCAAAAAATTTAGTGTGACATGCACTGAATCTGCGGAACCGGCGTGACATGTACGCAGTACGACAGGTCGAGTATACACAAAAATGCGGTGCCGCGCCCATGCATTGTTCAGTGCTGTCAAATTGTCACTTTGTAGTTGTTCGAAGAGTGAACGTCGTGAGCAGAAGTCTTCCAAAATTCATAATAATTAAATTGTCGGAAAGCATGGAAGCTCTTGTTATATGTATTCAGCCGGCGCTGCAAAAATGCAGAAGCCTGAAGAACAGCATGTTGTCTAACTTTACCGTCTAAAATTTAGATTAATCAGCTAAAATGACGCCGCTGTGTTTGCAGGCAGGACCAGTTTAATACCGTCGTTAAGATATGCATTCTGTCAGTGGAACTGCTGTTAGACGTGACCTTGAGCTTATCTGAATAGCAGTACAAATCTCCAAATTTTTTTCGAATTCATCGTTTTTTTACCTGGGTCCAGGGTACGACTAACACAACAATGCACAATGGAAACGTTTTTATACTGATGCCGTTGGTGATTTATCTGTTAGGTAAGTTAGGGCGAATTGATACTTCTCCGAGGTCGTCGTACACGCGGTATTCAGTGAGCAACCGTTATCAAGAGAAAATGTGGCTTGTGGTGCACGCGACATTCATTCGACAAGCCAGCGAAGGTGTTACGAGACTCACGATGACTGCACAGTTATGATGATGACTGCTTGGTGCATTCTTCTGGGTCTGGCTGGATCAGGAGTATTCCACGCTGCCGGTTCACTGAGAAAAGTTTGTTGCTATAATTATAACGCTAGCGCATACAGCTTAGGACGAAATGGTCGCATACCCAACATCTCACATTCAGTACGAATGCAGCGCAGTGCACTGTACCACTGAGTTCAAAATATCCGTTTCGTACAAGTGCACTGCACCGCTTGCGTACAGAATGCTGGGTATGGGGCTATGCGACCATTTCGTCCTACTCTGTACATTGTAGAATGATAAAATACAAAGTAGAAAAGCTTCAGTTGTGTCGTCCAGTTACGTGAGGACGCGTCGTACTGTCCGTGCCCTTGACAATAACCTCGCCGGCAAGGATCTTCATTTTTGCTTTACAGTAATAGTATATGTGCACTGAGCTCCCTGTAGTTAGTAAAGCGGATGAATGTTGTTTAAAAGCGGTTCACCATGTGGAGGCCATCTGGTCTGACCAGTTTAGCGTACGAATGTATCAAGACTGGGCACATGTATCGGAACCTGCCCAATCCATTTCTAATCCAGCCTTTAGTTTTGGTTCTTCTATCGTTCGTACGGGACGTTCTAATAAATTAGACACGTGACCTAGCCGCACAGTGAACTGGTGTTTCTGGATTCTGGTGATCGCCATCATCGCTGATTCGTGACCTTGCAACCTTTTAAAATCCGAACAGTCATTGGCTCCCTCCCAGCACTGGCTAAGCCGCTCGAGTTGAGACGCGTTAAATTAAAAGCAAAAGTCAGCGAAAACGTGGCTAATCTATGACCTGGCTGAAGGAACCATCTGGCCTAGAAGTGTCTCCTCAATGTTTACGGGAACCGTGTAAAAGGTTCTGGCACTTGTGTAGTCGCGCGGTTTTTCCACTCCATTATATACTAGCCTCTTTCACACACACGCTGCCACGGGGGGGGAAGGGAGGGGGGGCACGTGCGGTGACCTTCGCCGTACGCCCAAAATACCGGGGCATCGGGAAAACACGTGTGTCACTGGCGTTAGGCTCACCGAGTGGCTGTCGAGTGTCGACTAAGCAGAAATTTCGTTACGCTCGCGTGCGGTGTGGTTGGCTCTGCACACACGCATAGTACACTAGATTCAGGAAGGCCGAACATAAGGCCGAGCGCGCCTTTTGAGAAAGAACGCAGAAAAATCTAAAAAACGTTATCCAAGTAACTACAGAAGAACGCAGAAAAATCTAAAAAAAAGTTATCCGAGTAACAACAAAGATCAGTTTGAACTCAAACTTATGATGATCATTTTATGTTTTAATGCTTAACCAGTCACGCGTGTTGCTGCGTATACGATATTCAGCCTGCTGCGTATACGATATTACATAAAATTGCGTATTCCATTTCCAAGCACTTAGATGACACCGTTTAAATAATTTTTTCAGTACTCATTAAGTGCAGCTTTACTTTTAACTCGTTCCCGTCCATTCCTGTCAAATGGCAGGGTGGGTGACTCTTTTTTCCTACATGAGCCCGTAACGCACGCAGCTCATATTCTTTAGTTATATTTCACAGTAGAGATATTATGTGTCGTTTTTAAAAATCGGACTGTCCAACACAGTGTGGGCTGGGCATGCACCAAGTGACCAAAGGTGCCCAAAATCTGAAATTTTGGGTTCGCGAAGGTCTTGGTTGCCCCTGCAGCCTCCCAGCATGAGATAATTCCAAAATAAATAATCCAAGCCAATCTAGCGGCCCTTGTTGCAAAATCTTTAAAAGACAAGAAAAATAACTGGACAGCGGACAAGCACGGTCATTCTAAAATTTCCTGCCAAGTTTGACAGGGATGGGCATGGTTCTACTTTACTAATAAAACTATAAATTCGATATAAAATCTCAAAGGTTTAGTGGAAAGCCACACATGCAATCAAAAATTCGAGCAAAAAAGTGTTACAAAGGCTGGTATTTCGGTGGTCATCGAAATGACCGGTGGTCAGTAAGCTCGAAAAATTTTCAAAAAACACTTTTTTGGCAGAGAATTTGAAAAACGATTTACGAATAAAGTGCAAACAACAAGAATTAACGCGAATTATGGACTTAAAAAGTGTTTCCGTTTAATAATTCAGATTTATAATATATCGGAGAAACGAATATACTACGCAGTACGCACTATGCCTAGTCCAGCGTTAGAAGAAATGATAAGATTTGACCTGAGGTAAACATAAATCATGGAAGGCATTTCACCCAGTCATTTTTAAAATTGTACAGCATTTCGGCATTCCCTTACGAATAGGCGTCATTGAATTACCAAGCTATAGCGGATAATAGCGGAAATGACCATGCGGAAACAGTTTTTCACTGCCGGTGCGGCATACATCGTATACTCTACTCTAGGATGTAGGTGATGCGGTGCGGGTAGCTGTCGCTGTGGTTACTGGCTTATGAACCGCTTAGTGATGGTTGAGACCGTTTGTAGAGTACCCTCTGCAACTTCTATTCACTAAAAAGTTACTAAACGTCGGCTGAAAACAGTAAGCGGCAATAACGAAGATTGGTTAACAATAACTCCTTCTGGTAGCTGACTTTGGTGGGTTAATTTGCTTTTCGTTTGTTATAATAATGTATAAGAATTTTGCAAATACTGCTAACGTCAGATTAATTTCCTTACATTGCATTAAGGTTCGAATTTAACTGCTCAACAAATAGCAATTAATCTTCGACTATCACATACTTTGTATTAATATATTATCAGAATTTATCGACCAGTATTTTTTGCCTGGTGAAGTTCATCATTTTTATCCACGTTCATATCAAAGAAAACTGTCACAGACAGCTGAAGCAAAGAAATAAATTAAAAACATCCAGAGAAACAGGAGTAACCGAAAAAAAAACCCCAATTCACAACAGCCGTGACACAAAACAAAAAAACCGACCATCCCACCGGATCATCGTTAATAAAACCAATAAAAACGAAAAAAAAACACCACCGTCCCATCACGGCAAGATCATGAGTAATCAAACAGCAAACATCCCAGAAAAACAAACAAAATCGAAAAAGAACATGCTCTGTAAGATTTCGCATCTCGTCCACCGTTCTCACATAATAATTCTCCCAATAAAATTTCAGACACACAGATGAGCAAAATAAAAAATATCCTCCAAAAAAGGGTTTCCACTCTCTCTCTCTCATTTTCTCTAAAATTGTTTTCTACATTCGCGACACATCCGATGCACGGGGGGAACGGAAAGCCCAACGGCAGAATGTCCCGAGCGCCATAATCTAGTAACCTTCGCGGACCGAGTAACAGAACCGGGGAAATGGGGGAATCAAAGCTCCAGGGTTTTGATAAAAAAAAGGAGTAGGCTTTTTTGATTGTTTCATCCATCAGTTCCAGGTGAGATCGTAGCCATCCCAGCCGGCCGGTGGCGCCAAAAATACCCGCCGACCACGATGGACGAGGGTCACCACGCCGCGGTAGCCACCGCGCGGCACTCCAGCCTATACAAACAAAAAATAAATAAAATTATAAATATAATAATAATTATACAATATAATAACATAATATACTTAATAATATAATAATCATATATAATAAAGAAGAAAACAGAACAGAAAGTTCACATAAGGTCAGGATTTTTAACACCTCCTACACATATCGGCTAATAATTGAAAATCAATCTCCGCTTCGATACATGTACGAACAGCAGTCAATGCGAATAAAAACCGAAAATGTGTCCATGTAACTTCATTTCTAAAAGTTTTTATTTAGCATGCAACCACCACATTACTTTAACGGTAAATTCAATAATTAATTAACTTCTGCCGGCATATTCATCGTGATTTTCGTAATAATTATGTTCCTTTTCTATAAAATAGTATAACTCATACAGGCATGACGTATCAGTCTGATAATCTACCTTGAAATCCTGCATCACTCCAATGGCTTTGGCAATTTTGATAAACTGATCTTTGGTGCGGTACTCAATGCGGACGGCGGCATTATCAGGCAGGCCAACAATCTCCTTCTGCTTCCAGTCATCCAACCGGATCACGGGCGCGTTGTACACGATGGAATTGAAGCGTGGATCATAAATCTCCTGTTACAAACATAAAAAAATATATAAACATGAAAAACGAGTAAAACAAAATAAAAATCAATAAAGAGAAACCATCATGATTAAACAAAAGTACCAATAAGTAAGCAGTAATTAATAACGATCACTGGCAGGTCACTGAAAGAATAAATTCTGCAATAAAAGAACAAAAATCCAAAACTTGTATCATTTAGGAATTAATTACCAGCTGCGAACGGGAAAAATAAAACATCAAAAAATAATAATCGAAAATAAACGGTTAAAAACTGGATGCAAATATTTTCGTGAAAATCTACGACTTTGAAACTATCGACTACATTTTCTTCGGACACCATCAGTAAACAGGAAAATTGATCGTTCCGCGTCATCGGCATCGATCACCATCCGTACACAGATAAACACATCAGAAAACCGGCACGTACTTTCAATAAATAGGCCAAATTGCGCTCGCGAAAGGGCACGGCGACATCGTTGAGTTTGATGAATTTCAGATGCGTCTCAAAGAACTCCCCACTATTCCAATCCAAGCAAACGATCATTAGTGATTTATTCCCGCCGCCGGCACAATGCAATCAATCGACACACTCCAATGGACATAATCAAACGCATAACTCACTTGCTGACACCCTTCTTCCCGAACGTGGAGGTACGGGAGATTTCCGGTCGGATGCAGGAGCGCTGCTGGCGCTGCTCGGGCCGGCGCATCCAATCGTCCCAGAATCTGCACACCCAACACCTTATTCAATTACCGGCTACGACAAAATCAATTATGGATGGAAGGAGAAAAATATATCGGAGAAAGCGCTATACAGATCGATATTAATTTTTTTATGGGAAAGTCGACGGTTTAATCGATACGGGTGCTTTGACTCGTACTTTTCGGGCCATTTCGGCTCCAGTTCGTTCCAGATTTCTTTGGTTAACATCCAGCCCAAACCGGGAAAAAAATCCGTTCGATGGAGTAATTCTACAACAAAGTTTACCGTCGTCAGCCACAGAAAATTTTACAATTCTCGATAAAGAGTTAACATAATTATAAAATAATTACAAAATATTATTTGTAATGTAATGATAATTCTGCTTTTTTTGCTTGACAATTCGTCCGTTTTACCAGAAACGTATATTCCAAATATATAAAAATATATTTAAAAAAATATGTTCCAGTATGCAAAGTATTTGTTTCAATGATTGACGTAAAACTAATTAATATAAATAAGAACATAAAATATTTTTGTAGAAAAATTCCTTTATAATCCGCAAATCGTGTAATGAAAGCAACCAGTCGATGAATAATCTGGAAAAAATCTTCCAGTCGTCTAATGTTTACCTGCGTTATTTTCAGTCAGATCCGCTTTTCCATTATCATTCCACGCGGATATGCACCACAAGGACGTATCGAGTGCCAGCAGTGGATACAGCGCGGCAAAATACTGGAAAAAATCCGGAGCAACGTCCAAATCGTCTGCAATGCCAAAAGAGTAAATTCATCGGCATTCTCCAATTACATCGCAACCGGTACGGGGACGCGTGGGAGAGTCAACACACACAGATCACACTGCAGCGGCGCATTAATGGCTCCCCACGGTCCCATACGTAACCTCATCGAAAACCTATTACGCCGGTTTTAATTTGGCTTTTAGTGTCGTTGGGCGCAGTCCGCTGGGAACTGCTTGCACACCATTACCATAAAACACCCGAACAGTAGTATAACAGCTCACGTTACAAAATAAAGAAACTAAAACAAAATAAACTATAAAAATGATGCCAAGCTAAAAAAAATAATATAAAATACCAAAAAATAACACATTAAAATACAGATCTGTTATGACATTAGTAACATATTCCTTCCAATTTAAATACTGCAATCTCCGTACGTACTGTAAACTTAAATACTTTTTTGGTTAATACTGTTATTATTTCATTATTTTTATTATTTACTGCTTTGTTTATTTTATTTATTTATTGTGATCTCTGTACGGAAACACTTTTTTAGTTTTTGACACTTCCACTGAATTTGATTCTGAGTAAAGAAATGGAAAGTCAGCAATGAGGTTTACTCCGGAAAACCATCCCATAATACCAGTAAAAGCGTCTTCGTGTCGAACACGAACGCCGTAAACGCACTTCACAATTCACATACCGATGCAAAAAAATTTTATTACGGAACAAATAACTTGGCAGTCCGCACAGCCCATGAACCGTCGCTATTTTTACGAAACGACCGTCCCAAGAATAGATGCAATAAAAGTCTAGGGGACTGTTTATGTCTGCGGGCAGATGTTGAACGTCAGAGGCTAATCGCACCGTGTTTCCATCTTTATTTACCACGCAAAAGCGCTTTCGGTAGCTTTTGTTTAATAGACACAACATCAGATAATTATTCAACAAATTTCATTTTCTTTGTGAATGTGAGATTTTCTCATCCGCCTTGCCCTTCAAGTTAACAGGTCCACAGTTCATTACGGTCGTTCTTTATTCTTTTAAACTAACCCTTCAATTCTTTAAATTATTCTTTAAACGATACAGAAAAAGTTACATCAATATATCGGTGTAAAAATAAAATATACCTGTAAACATATAAAATTATCTGCAAATACTTTCTATCTGTACGAGTATAAAAATATCTGAACAAAATACATATGTATAAAAATTAAATCAATATAAAGTCTTCATGATAGGAATTTCATCAGCTTGTAGCATGTTGCTCAAACAAGAATTAAACTGTGTAATTCTGATTTTTTATTCACAAATTTTTATTTATATTAATTTTCAAAACATGGGCATGAAGATATGACAAAGACAAAGTCCCGCGTCTCATGATTAAACCGGAAGACAAAATCCGCATTTATCTTTTACAGAAATAACCAAAATCCCAGACTGAATCAATCAAATCACGCGGACCACTACCCGATACACAACCGGCGCATTTTCTGTCGACTTATCCCGAAAAATTCAAGAGTACATAATGGAATCCGAGATGGCCGCCGCATATTACACAGCGCCTATTTGTCATATTGGCCTTAAAAAGCGGAGCCCCGGACAATCGATCCCCTGCCTAATAAACGCCCGCACAATTCCCCGCGCGCGATATACGCCGATATTGAAATGCAAGACAAACAGGCAAACACTCGCACTGTCACGCCAGCAGGTGCTCGAGTTGCGCAAAAATGCTTTAAATCATATTGATCACTCTCTTCCTCTCTCCCGTCGCATCTATCCCATCCATTCCCCGTTTTCCCAACTCAATCAATCCAGTTTTACAAGGGAAAAAATCCACTTAACCCACGAGCGACATTAACTCGGCACCAACCATTTTCTCATCAATGCCGCACCAACCCAATTAGCCCATTCATACCGATAGAAGATAGGAATACATAAGCAAATTCATATTGAATTAAGTGCAGCGAGGTAAATTGGATTACATCAATTTCTATGGGATGAAAAGTGGCAGGGACATTGGTATTAAATGGCACTTTTCCATTTTTAACTGACGGGGAAAGTGTTTCACTTTAGATGAACAACGACATGAAAATCATATTAAAATTGTTAACTTAAATTCGGTTATTCGGATTCAGAGTACAAAGAAATGATTATAAACACCGTAACAAATAAAATTCTCCAAATAACCTGTTTCAGCTTTTATCAGTCTGGTTACAACAATATCCACCGCAAGCTTTCTACTAAAAACAAATCTACAAATGCAGATTTTTGCAAAGATAATGAGCGCAACAAAACTATTTTTTATTATTTTATTAATAATAATTTTATCGATAACTCTAATATTATTTATCATATCATTAAATTCAAATTATTCAATGTATCACACTATTTTAGTTTTATAATTATAGAATAAACTTCATAAAATTCATATACATTTCTGTTATTTGATTAAAAATAACTTAATATTGATTTTAAATTTTAATACTATTTAGTGTATCATTAAAATCATTTTATTACAGTATTTTATCTTTTTATTCACAGAATAAAGTCATAGAATTCATATTCATAGAATAAAATAGGTCAAAAACAGTTGAAAATTACCGTATCATTTCACGGCAATTTTAATAAAAATACCTACTATTATCGCCTAATAACAGGGCGCTGCCGGGAACGATTAGCGGGGAGTCGGAAGTGGCCTACATGTCTACATACACGACCGGGAAAAGACGGTCGGGCTTACCTTCGACAATAATCACCGCTGAGTAGTTGTATTTGCGGAACATCTGCTGTAATCCCCACTTGTAATGGCGGGCAATCTTGTAGTAGCCTTCAAATTTCTTGTCCTTCTTTGACAGATTAATGGGAGTATTGTTGGTGTGCTGCAACATGGACCAAACATTCACATGCCATACATGAAAATCATTTGTCAACAAATTCCGTAAATTGCTGAGAAGAAAAATCGGACAGGCATTTATCAGTGCATCAATCACAAAAAGTCGATCAATAAAAAATTTTCTCTGGTTTTTTCAACCACTACGAATAGTTTAAAATGCAATAAATGACAACGGATCCTTGCGGGACAAATAAATTATTGAAAGGCTAAAACTATCCTGAAATAAAATAGTACGAAGAATATTGTTCTGATCTAGTTCAGTATATAAACATTGGCAAAAATATCCTGGCAAATATTCTTCCACGATAAAAATACAAAATCCTAGAAGTTCGAAATATTTTCTTAAGGACATGTAATTAAGAAATTACTAGTTTTCATGGTTTTTTCAACCACAACTTAGCTTGTAATATTACGCTGGCATTTGATTACTGATTCTTCAACGATAAATAAACATACCGAAACTCAAAAACAATTTAAAAATTAATGAATAAATAAATCAAAAAAACTGAATAAAATTTCCCGGACACTTCAGCTAGATAGCATTTTCAAAATTTTCGAATAATTATAGAGAAACACCGGTCGGGGAGGTATTTTTTTCCCACACTCATCCGCTCAATGACGGCAATCAGTCCCACACAAACTTTGTCATTCTTTCGGTTGAATACAAATTAAACCACTCGAAAAGCGATACAGTTACACTGCGATAATGGATCCATGTTTGGTAATCGACTGTTTGCCAATGCGAATAATATGGTCCAAGGAAACAACGGAGAGGTCAAGAGGGAAGCTCGCAATGTGGTCATCCGAGCTGTGCACACGCTGCTGTTGTCAAACCCACCTTCAAATGCGTCAACTGATCCCCGTAGCTGGCGATCGCATCCGCCGTCGCGGCATCCCCGCAGTCCTGACTGACATACACCGGGAAGGATTGGGCCGACGGACGGAATCTGTGACACAAAAGCGGACCGTATTCAAATCCACGATCACGTACAGTACAGATATATAATAAAATGCATTTGTCCAACTTCCCCACTGACAAATAATCCATATATATTTATCATTTCTGTACGGTAAAACAATTGCAATAAATAGTTTCACGAAAAGAAAATGTTTTTTCTGATTTTTCAAATGTTGTTCACATACAAAAAAGACAAATAATCTACGGATAAATCCACTGACAAATACGTGATTAAATATTTATAATTTCTGTATCGTAAAAGAACTGCAATAAATACGTTCACAAAAAAAGACTTTTAAATTCTATCCATTGGAAAAAAGAAAAACGGGTATTATTCACGAGCCTGAGATTTATTCAAAACTTCATTTAACATCGCTATAGTACGAGTATACATATCGATCACAATCCGCATAACTACAAACATTTTTTTCTTTTATCCGTAAATTTCAGATCATGTTTCCATATCAGAATTACATATAATCACAAGTCATACGACAACTTCCGGTAATTATCCATAAAATACTATTGTTTTTAGCTAAAAAGTCGGAAATCAGAGTATTATTTAGCTAAGCCCAGTTCATTTTTCAACAGAAATTTTTCAATTTTGGAAAATGCATTGAACGCTACTCCGGCCGGTTCAGACAACGCCAACGCGGAAATCGCAATGCGGCATAATCCTTCTCAAGGTTAACTCTCGCCAGCCAGAACGCCGAACACATCACCCGCAGAAATGACACGTAAACTCGAAAGCTTTACAGTCAGATTTCGTGACTACCGACAAGCTCGTCAAAATAAACGTCACTGACGGAGAGACGACAACGCACAGCTACAGCCAACAGCCCGAAAACACTGTATCGAAAACACGTTAAATTAAACATCCGTCACGCAAGAATAAACAACATTTTCCCTAAACTGTCCATAACCACATCGGGACACGCTCGTAATTTGGGCAATAATTTGTGACAAACTCATCTAATGCTGTAATTCACGTCTAAATTCGGGCAAGAAGAATTTTTAAACCAGAAGGAACGATAAAGGACGATTCTTTCATTGTTATACAGTTTTTATTTTTATTTCAACCTTGTACAAGCAAATGCCATTTACAATTAAATCCCAAATACCGTATACCTAGAATAAATAAAACAGCTGTTATACAGTAATAATAAAGATTCGGGTGTAAAATTAGTTCAATAAATCTTCGTCTGCGGTGCCTTCCAAATTTTTACGGTTAAAAAAAGAACGAAAAAACCTTAAAATTTATATGTTTAAATAGCAAATGCACAGCCGTGAAATCTCGCGCAAAATATATCTGTCAACGACCGAATAATCAAAAACAGCATCTGCCGTAATTTACGCGCCGTCAGTGATATGTATTCAGGTACGCTGGTAGAGTTAACAATTACAGTACTGATAAATTTAAAAACGCCACTGCGACTACTTTCCGAAAGCAGGAAGTTCAAAACAAAAAACCACAACAAAACTCAGGATTGCTCTCCCGAATAATAATTGTAAATTTTTAACCGAAAATATGCCAAAAGCTAGAAAAAGCTCCGCAGTTAATTGCAAAAACTTAATTGAGCCTTACTTAATCAGCTGGTCCAGACTTCGCTTAATTGTTGGACGATTACATCCGAAAACGATAACGGGAATGACTGGGATTTCCTTCCTTAATACTGCTAAACTTGAGTCGCCTCCATCCACACCGATCACTGTGAGGAAAATCGCCAATTAACAACAAACTTCTTCAAAACTATTCTGGCCAGATTTCTGGGGAAAGATTTCTAATAGCACGATTCCGGTTTTGGGAGGAAAACCAAAAAGAATTTTAAAAACATTAAAATAACAAAAACAGCAAATTATAATATGGCGCATCCGCCCGCTTCTTGTATAATGATAAGTTGCATCACATTAGCGATACCGTGAATTGGTCTTATCAACTCTAAATAATTATCCATTTTAATGATTTTCTGGATTTTTGGCTCCCTTCGTTCGCAAACAAAATTCGCAAAGCTGAAAACTCACCTTCTTGTACCCGCTCAACATACTGCTTGATCTTTTCGCTATCCTGCTCTAAATTATGTACATCGTCGAAGAGCGCTGAAAGGTGCTTGATCTTGCGATTCGCGCCTTCCTGCGAGAAGCCAACCACACAAAATCAGCACATATTCTGCAAAAGTGAATTTTCTAAAGTAAATTCCTCAGCCTAAACATACATTCGGATCCAGTTCCTGAATATTTTGATGAAATAACACATATTGATAGAAAAATAAAACCCATAAAATCGTTATGCCAGATGCGATAAAGTATCCCAACTTCCTCTTCATGTTGGGGAGAGAAATCAGTCAGGAAAATCATCGCTCATGGTGAAAAACCTCGATAAAATATTGTACATCACATGACTGTATCATCGCAGCGGTCGTTATCTCAAAGATCTGGTTATCATTTTAACACGTATCTATAAAATCCGCAATTTTTAAAAATGTGTCTAATTTTCTGGGAAAACCAGGTAAGTAAAAAATCACAAATGACGTTGGCGGGTTACGCAGACCGGGAGAAACACACTGCACAAGTCAAGTCAAAGTGAGCAGAAATCTGACAACGTGTTTGTGCCGCTGCCGAGCGCAACTGCGCAATACCAGCAGGCGCAACCGGTTATTTTCACTAGTACGCGCAGAATTTAACCAGCCTGTTTTAAACACGTTAGAGCAGCAGCGCAACCAAGTGATTACCCTGTATGCAACCGCATACGACCGTGCGTACGTACGTTTACAGTAGCATCGTTTTACTATTGATTTTTTTGTCACAAAATGAAATTTGTTCAATGTTGCTGGAGCGTAATGAGCGATTGTGTGCTAATATGTTTATATCGCTGTGTGGAAGAAGATGATTGGCTGAATATGTCCAATCAACGGAGAAACGTCCGTCTAAATACTCGCCATGCTCCTGTTGGTAAACGGCTCAGCTGCTTCATCATACCGAGAGAGTGTTGACTGCTGTGTCTGACAAACCTAGACACATGGACCACGGCGTATCAGCGGCACAACGGAAGCCCGGAAGTAGCCAATTTCATTGTGATTCATTGCCGATCGGTTGATGGGGGGAAAACGGACAAATGCAAACCGACCGCTTCCGTTGCAAGCATTGCCGCTGCATATCATCATCCCCGTCTGTTAAAGCGATACCGTGATTAGCACATTTAGACACACAACATGCGCCGTGCGATCCATTCCAAGCGTCGCGTGCAGAGCAAATGAAATTCGTTTGTTGCCTTTGCGAAAATTTGCGCGATACACTTTCGATTAGATTAAATGAGTCACCCCAGAAAAAAGTCATTATAAGGTCGAACTAATCGTAAGTTATTAACTGAAGACTTACCAATTTTTTAGTTGGTTGGTAGTGGTACATAATCAGCTGCATCGATCGAGGATACGCCAGCTTCCGCAATGGAAATCTTTTAAGTTTCAGCACAAGTCGCAAAGACATCGATCACCAGCTATACAATAATTTTCGCATACGTACGTATGTACAATACTAGTAAATTTAAAATTTCGCTAAAACGCTCTGCTTGGTACGTCTGGTTTAGTTCAGTTGGCTAACGGAGGCCGCGGACTCGATCGAGACGAAGCGCCACAGGCAGCAGCTGTTGCTGCAATACAATTTGTCACTACCAATTTGGCGCGTCTGTCGAACTCCAGTGTCCGGAGAGCGGCTGCCGCTAAATGTACAATTTATTATGCAACGAATTAGAACATTAATTATACATTAATGTGAATGGATTAGGAACTACGTACCAGGCTTCCGCATTACCGTACCACCCGCTCCAACCGAATTACACGTGCAGTACATGTGCCATTGATTTGATCATCAGACATTCTAAGGTCGTTTCAGTAATATTTTAATGAATTCTTCATGATTGTGCAACTGTTCGTTCGAAATTTTTATTCGCGAACAGAGTTGTATAATGCAGCTTATCTGCATCTCTCTGCCAGCAATATAACGGAAGTGAACGCCCGTGCCAACGCCCAAAACATTTAACCATGAAAGTGTCAGTCGAATATAAAGCGAACAAATTTCTTCCAGTTCAGCAGCAGTCTACGTTCACATTTCACTTCTACGCTCATAAAAGGCAGCGGGCTCTATAACAGTTTAACTTACAAAAAGGCGTCGGCACCATGAAATCGGTTTTTGTAATCCTTACTGTTGTCGCCACCGCTTCGGCCGCCACTATCAAGGTAAAGGTCAAAGGAATAGGATGCAATAAAAATAACTATTTACCAAGTTGAAGCCAAAGTACTTTAGCGAAGTCTTATTTAGGCGAGTGCGGTAAAGGCCCAGAATCCGCTTGCCTTCGGAGCTTTGGACAAGCTGCGTGGAAGGAATGCCCTTAGTGTGCCCGATCAGTACAACCTGATCGCCACCGCCCGCGCCGGTCAAGACTATCCCAACAATGTCGCCATTCCGCAGACGACCTTCGACTGCGGTAGCACCCACCAGCCTGGATTCTACGCTGATCCCTCTCCGGCCTCCCGCTGCCAAGGTAAGAAGACATTAAACAATACTTCCATCAACTCAAAGGTCACGATTTGTGTTCTTGCAGTCTTTCACCGCTGCGACATCAACGGCAACCAGACTTCGTATTTGTGCCCTAACATGAGTGTACGACAATGTCTTCTCTGATTGGTCGATAGAATGCTGATGGGTGGGTGTGTTTGCAGGTGTTCAACCAGATCACCCTGGTCTGCAACTGGTGGTTCGACGTGGACTGCAGCAAGGCCGCCTCTTTCTATGACTACTCCAACAGCCGTCTCTACCAGGGCTCAAATGTGCCGCTTTTGGATGACTATGTCCGATCCGTGACTGGTGCTGTTGCTGCCGCTCCGGCTCCGGAGGAAGCCGCACCTGCCGAGGCCCCTGCTGCTGAAGCAGCACCGGAAGCTGCTCCCGCCGAAGGCGAGGCTGCTGCTCAGTAAACGCTGTGGAGTAAACAATGCAGCGCTGTACTTGTCTCACATCTGGTCTCCGTGACTGCACAGATTTTGTAAAATATTGTGTAATTGCCTGCTACTAGTCAGTTTGGCCATTAATCATGCCTCATGATGATGACCAATGTCCACCGGGCCACACTGTTGTGTACCCAGTGTATGCAACAGTTCTAAAAGATTCGGAGAGGTGTGATCCACATCCACAGAAATGAAAAGTAAAGGATAAAGAAGGAAGGAATTTTACTTAGAACGAATATAGAGAAACAATTATTTTTGACTCCTAAGAGTGACCGATATCCTCGGCATTGTAAATTGTAGTAAATCGAATCGAAGCAAACCGCATCACATGATTGCATTCGAAGAGGACTCCTAGCTGAGTGACTGAATCATGCCCATAGACGTGGGAGCGCAGTACCTTCTTACTTTTGTGATGATATCTTCTGATAATTTCCAACGTCAGAAGGGGCGACAGTTGACGTACGTACCTAGATTGGCCAACTGTGCGAGGCGCCTGTATGCTGCCGGTGCCGGTTATAGCCGGATGAGCGCGAGTGTGATGGTGCGTGCCCGCCAGACGGTGGTGCGTGCCCGCCAGACGCTGCCAGTCGCGTGGATCACTGATTCCCATTGTTCCTAACTTACCTGGTTCACAGCTGCTTATGCGTGGTCATACGTGCATGTTTATTGATGAGAAGTTGAGAACCGATGAGAAATGTTACAATATGGTGCACATACGAATACGGTCATCAAATTATCGGTCAACGAAATGAAGGTCATAGAGTTGTCGTGCTACCCATACGAATGTACTACGTACATTCAGTACGAGGACGTTCGTTTGGTCTGTACGATTTCTGGTCTGGTCATGATCACCTTGTACATGATCAAAAATAATAATATTATGACTGTCTGCAATATATCTAACCATAAGAGAAAGTAAGAACAAGTACGAATGTGTCAAAAACTGGAACTACTTGGCTGAATTTTTTGCGGCAGATTCCAGGCGACAGCCGAATCGTGATCAGCGTTCCTGTATACATATATGCGGTATACGACGGGATATCCGTCGTACCATAATATACGAAGCTGTAGCTTCCGTTGCGGGTCTAAAACTTCCTGTGTAAACAAAAGAAAATTGTGGCGATCTCCTGCAGCTCATGCACAAGCCAGTTAGCTTGGACCTTCTGTAGTCTGATCAACGACGTATCAGTCACTGGTAAGCGGTGTGTGACGCTAGACTTGCTTCGCTAGGTTGACGGTGTGTGACCACTGACATGTAGGAAAAATGTGTTTAGATTGTAGAATGTCGACCAATAACTCTAGAATATTGTTGAAAAAAACGGAAAAGTTCGAGAATCAGTGTTTGGCAAAGGAATGTTTAACTGGGCAGAGACAGAATAGAATGTAGCCTTGCATGGGACGTTCAATGAGAAAGTGGCTGATTAATGCGTTGTGCACAAAGCCAAAGGCCTATTTTTGCCCGGGCTTAACTGCTCAAGATCGTCACGTCTTGTTGCGCAGTCAGAATCATTGCAGATCGGTTACATGGAAAGTTGTTTTATGCATTTTAGCTATAAATAAGCATTAAAACACTTGCTTGGTATTAGTTTTATGTTTAAGGAGTTTGCCGGAATCTGCCGCATTCGACTCCGAGTTGAGCGGATCCATATACATATACATATGTATATATACATATATTAATGTATTTATACATATATATACATATATATACAGCTTAGGACAAAATGGTCGCATACCCAACATCTCCACATTCAGTACGAATGCAGTGCAGTACACTGTACGGCTAAGTCAAAATATCCGGTTCGTACAAGTGCACTGCACCGCATGCGTACAGAATGCTGGGTATGGGGCTATGCGACCATTTCGTCCTACATTGTATGTATTTATGAGTCCTTTTGCATTCGCTTCGCGGTAAATTCCCTGCATTGGCAAGTGGCAACTTTTATTTACGCTCAGTTTTGCCGCTTATTACAGACCTTTAGACACTGACTGCCGCCACGGGGCGTCTCTCCCTAGACTTTACAGTTTACCACGCAAACGGCAAACCACTGAAACCAAGGTTCGAATTTTTCGAATCTGGATCTTTCTTTTCTGGATCTGTTTATGAAGCTTTACAAATAAAAATTACAATGCTTTTAAGTTTTATCAGTTTAAACTTTTGTACGGTAATTTGAGTAAAAGTCGAAAATGTTTGCATTGCATGCTGACTGATGGCAACACTTCCAGATCGTACAAAAACCTCTCTGATCAGCGATCGTCGTTAATTTGTATTTCAGAGACAGGTGTGAACAAGTCACAACACGCTTGGACTATCCAGTGCCGTTCTGCCTGTGCCCCATGGTGCATTCCATTCAGTGACAGTCATGATCTTTATTGCTTGCGTTGCGCACGGCGTTCCTTGTTTCTGCGATAAAAGATGCGAGCCGCGAAGCCCAGCGTGAAAGCCAAGAGCGCCGACATCATCCAGCAGCCCCAGCATGCCCAGCCGCTGCACCGTATCGGGGGGAATCTCCGTCCCGTCGGCCGCGGAGTCCCACGCAAGCGCTCCAACCCCTCCCCCCAGCGCCCGCACCATTTCAAACCCGTCATCGACGTCCCACCCGCGCCACAGCCTCCCAGCGTCCCCTCGACATCCAAGGCTCCGCCGCAGGCTGAAATAGAGCTGCGTTCGCAGGAGACGCTCTTCCCCGAGGATTCCTGCTTCCAGGAGCTGCCCAGCGGGTTTCTGCGTGGGGAACCGTCCGGTAGTGGTGGGGCGCCCCCGGGTGGGGACACTAAGCCAAGCCAGGATGGGGCGCCGTTGGAGATTGCCAACTGGGGACTTCCTGAGCAGGTAAACATTTTCTTTAATTTACCATGTTCCTAACCGTATATGTTTAAACTTAAACTGTATGTAATTTGTGGTAAATTTTAATCCACTGAAGTAAGGGGACGTTTTATTAAAATGCCTGCTTAATATTTTGGAATAAATTTCAATATAATAAATTTCGGAGTGATTAAATAAATTTGGAAAAATAAATTAATTTTAATGATAAGATGGTTTCGGAATAATAAACTAATATCTAATGAAAAAATTATATAATGATAAAATGAAATTAATGATAATGATATCAGCGCTTTAATTTACAGAAACAACAAATACAGCAACATAATTTCAAGCCAACTAATGTTAAACAGTTAATAAAAATAAACCTAGTAAACACATAAAAATTTTGACAAAATTCCCAACAATCATTAAACTTCAATGATTGTTGGGAATTTTGTCAGAATTGTTTCTGCGTCCTGTATGCCTGGATTTATTTACTTCATTTTTGTTTCTGTTTGCTTGTTTATAAAAGTGTATGGTTGTGGTACACGTAATGATAGTACCTGTTATTTATTTTTTATAACAGGAGAATTTTTTTTTTAGTATTGATTGACTTTTTGAATAATGTTGTTTTTAAGTTTGTGGAAGTTTTTCAGAGTTTTTTTCTGCGTCTTCTCGGTTTATTCTCACAATTGTCGTTTCTCTTGATTTTCGTGTAAAGGTAGTCGCGGCCTACCAACGCGCCGGCATCACCACCATGTTCCCCTGGCAAGCGGCCTGCCTGTCCATCGGCGCCGGCCGCGTCCTCAACGGCGGCAACCTGGTCTTCTCGGCGCCCACCAGCGCCGGCAAGACCCTGGTCGCCGAGATCCTCCTCCTCAAACGCGTCGTGGAGAGCGGGAAGAAGGGCCTCTTCGTGCTGCCCTTCGTCGCCCTGGCCCAGGAGAAGCTGGCCACCCTCCGGCGCCTGCTGAATGATAGCGATGTACGCGTGGGCGGCTTCATCGGGAACACTAGCCCGCCGGGCGGTCTGGCACTGCTGGATGTGGCCATCTGCACCATTGAGCGGGCCAATTCCCTGGTCAACCGGCTGATGAAGGAGGGGAAGCTACGGCAGATCGGCGTGGTGGTGGTGGATGAGCTGCACATGGTGGGGGATTATTCGCGGGGGTACCTGCTGGAGCTGCTTCTGACCAAGGTCATCTATCTGAATCGGCTTAATGCGCAGGAAGAGTCCCGCGGGATTCAGATTATCGGCATGAGCGCCACGCTGCCCAATTTGCCGCTGGTGAAAAAGTGGCTGGATGCGGATTTGTATTCAACAGGTGTGTATTGGACGGGTTAGTTGTATTAACCGGAAGCGCTTAAAATTACTGTACTCGTACTTTGCGTACTTGCAGTTCATGTAAGATAAGTGTTGAAACTGGGTAAAAGATATAGATACGCTATACTTATACCTGGAGGAAAATGTTAATTCGGATTATTTTTAACTAAATTAGATTAGCGACCGCGTGGCGGCATTTATTGTCGCATTGGCGGCATGTTCTGTTTTTTTAATGTAATCTAATTATTTAAATCAAATTTAATAAATTTAAATTGGGCAAAAAATCAGCACAGTAATATAAAATAAGAAAAATAATCATAAAAACTTTTAGTAAATAAACGCAAAATAATAATAAATTAAAATGTGTGGTAGTAAAATTTTATGGAAGATTTGTTCGATCGTTCCGATAAGAGGCGTCTGGTGTTTGGTCTGATACAGTCTTAGCAAAGGGATTTTACAGATTTCCGGCCCGTTCCCTTAACCGAAACCATTAAAATGGGCGCCGCTCTCTACGACCGTCACTGGCGGAAACTCCGCGACCTGCCCCCGTGCCGCGACACTCCAGACTCGGACCACCTCTGCACACTGTGCCTGGAGACCATCGGGACGGGGCACTCCGTGCTGATCTTCTGCCCGGCCAAGAACTGGTGCGAGACCATCTCCGCCAACCTGGCCTGTCAGCTGGTCAAGGCGCTGCCACCCGGCACGCTGCAGACGGACCGGCTGCAGGAGATCCTGGAGCAGTTGCGCCAGACACCCGCCGGACTGGATGCGATGCTGAAGAAGACCATCCGCGCGGCGGTGGCCTTCCACCATGCTGGGTTGACGGCGGATGAGCGGGAGGTGGTGGAGGCCGGGTTCCGGCGCGGCGTTATTAAGGTGCTGGTGGCCACCACCACCCTGTCGTCGGGGGTCAATCTGCCGGCACGGCGGGTGATTATCCGGTCGCCTTTGGTTTTTGATGGGGCGGCTAAGCCGATGGATCCGCTGACGTACTACCAGATGGCTGGTCGGGCGGGACGGAAGGGCGTTGATACGGAGGGTAAGCACACTGATGCACCCATCAAATTAAATTAACCAATAAATCAAATTAAATAAATTAAACTAAAAAATTAATCAAATTAAATTAACATTTCTTAAATTAATCATTTTCTGAATTTTCAAAAACCAAAAATAGTTTCCAATAGCCTGGTAAGATATCTCCATTTGAATGGCTGCAGTAACTAATTTTTATTTATTTTTGCTGGCCAGCTGCATTAGCCGACTCTTACAAATGAACAATTACAAAACAAATAAATAAAGTGTCGTTGGATAATAGAAAAAAAGTGGGCTACTGAAATTGAGCCTACATTAAATTTTGATAGGCATGTTGAATCGGTATCTGTGTATCAGCATACAGTATCATAAGTCAGTTATACACTCAATAGTTAAATCTGTTTTTCGAAGGCGGGCAGCGAATTTGTTGTGAGATTGGTAGTGATCAGAGGGTTTTGCAGGAAAATATTATAGTTTTATTGAATTGATGGTTTGACAAAATTCATTTGGTTACTAAGGAGAATTTATTTTGGCGAATATTTCCTAAAACGGTCTTGATAATATCGACATTCTTGTTTTATCATGGGCCATTGTACCGGCTGTCATTTGCGAATGTTGTGTTTGTTGATTGGTTTGCTACTTGCAGGCGAGAGCATTCTTATTTGCAAAGACTCACCGGAAGAAAAGCGAGCGGTTAATAGCATTTTTTCCGGTGCTTCGCGGCCCTTGAGAAGTTGTTTGTCGATTGGCTCGTGCGAAGAGCCCAGTATGTCCGTCCAACGAGCCGTTCTGGAGATCGTGGTTAACCGGGCGGCTCATTCTGTCGAGCATATTCTGACGTATCTCCAAGGCGCCCTGTTTGCCTGTGAACTGGACAGTGTAAGTGCTGCTGTACGAGTACCTTTAACATATTACAATAATAATAATAGTTCGATTAATACGACTAATAATTTAATATTGAAAAAAGTATTTAGTCGCTCTGGCTCGCTCGGTGCTCTGTATGTTTCCGTTAGGTATCAGATATCAGTAATAATTCAATCTTGTTAAATAATGATAATTTAAGTTAATATTTGAAAAAAAAATTATTTCTCTGACTCGCTCGGTATTATATTTCCGCTGTCAGTAATAATTCGATTATTAAATTATTAAGTAAATAATTCAAGTTATTATTTGTACAACAAAATTTTGTTCCTCTGACTCGTTCGATAGATGTTTCCATTAGTTATGCTTTGCTGTTCACGGCAGTTTTCTGTTCGCTTTGCTAAACAAAATGCTCTGAAGTTTTGTGGTGAATTGAACATGAATATTTAGCTGAATTCATATATACTGTGTAGCAGTTTGCATATTTACCAATTTCTCTGGTATATTTAGGAAGAAGAGTGTAAAAAATACGCGGCCGGCGTGATCAAAGCCCTGGAGAAGGCGCATTTCATCCAAACGGCTCCCGATGGAAGCGGTGTGCAGGCCACCCAGCTAGGCAACGCCATCGTCTGGTCGGGTCTGTCGCCGCACGACGGCAAGGCCGTTTTCGACGAACTGGCCGCCGCCCGCTGCAACTTCAACCTGCAGAACGAACTGCACATTCTGTACTTGATCACGCCGCTGAATGTGGCCCGCACCATCGGCGACATCAACTTCTACTTGTTCCTCTACATCTGGGACAAGATGCCGGCGGAGTGGCAGCGGGTGGGTCACTTGGTGGGCGTGGATGAGGTGTCGCTGGCCAAGGGTCTGCGCAACGAACTCAAGGATATCGCGCGTTTGAACCGCATCAAGCGCTTCTGGTGGTAAGCCAGTTTATAGCTATAGGAAAATTTAAAAGTAGCGTACTGCTTTATTGTTCGAAATTCAGCGTAAGAAAATCTCTTGAAAAATATTAAATATGTAAATGAAATTTGTATAACAGTAGAACCAGACAGTTTTAATAATAGTACAGTATAACCATACAGTACCGTACGGTACAGTGTTTTACAGTGTAACCAGACAGTTTTAATGGTGGCAAAATAGAATCGCAACAAATGATAATACACCTTTTAATGTACTGTATTTTATCGACTGAAGTGAAGCGAAGGCCCTTTGTGTTCGAAAAAAACGGAACTTTTGTCGGTGACGTCGGTCACCCTTATTAATTTTAAATAAAATATCGAAGAATACGCCAACAATAATAAATACGAAAGGCAGTTTTAAATGTGGAAAATCCATTTTTAAACCAGTCTTAGAACAATCTCAGTAAACAGTTTATTAAATTCTGCTTTCACGCTCCGCTTTGGTCTTTTTAGTGCCACCCAACGCGGGTTCATTTTTCTATTAAAATACAGTCTTCTGAAAGTTTGGAGCCGGTATGTGTCGATTAATCTCGCTGCTTTGTGTCAAGAAAGTCAGTTTTCCGAATGGCATACCGTACTTATGTTATTTCGCGTTACGCCTGTAGTGCTATTCTTTCATGAGTTACCAAGAAATTAAGAATGCAGGCCATGCAACAAGACTCTTGTATGTGTTTTTTGTTGTAGTGCGCTGATGTTGAACGAGCTGGTACATGAGGCCAGCTTGTGGGACGTGGCACGGCGGTTCGAAGTGAACAAAGGCGTCCTGCAGTCGCTGCAACATGGAGCGGCTTCCTACTCAGGTAAGCCATCCATAAAATACGGGCTAGAAAAGAAAAATTGGTCCTGCAGACGGTAGTTTAGTTACTAACGTTTACTGTAGTAATTCTCATGTAACGATTACTGCCGAATATTGTTTCAAAGACAGCATAGCGTCAGCTTAAAGCATGCCAAATAAAATCCGTTTTGTTTTATTTACGAAAGTGCCGTTTGTGCTGTTGAACAACTGCCCGTTGTCGACCGTACAAAGTATAACGCACTGACAGGTCGAGCACTGCGCTGTTGCAGGGATGATCACCGTGTTTTGTGAAGAACTGCGCTGGGCCAACATGACGCTGCTGTTCGAGCAGTTCCAGAGTCGGCTCATGTTCGGGGTGATGCGCGAGCTGGTGCCGCTGGTCCGCATCCCCTACCTGACCGCTTTACAGGCGCGCAGTCTCTACGAAGCCGGCTTTCCCTCGCTGACCAAACTGGCCACGGCGGGCGGCAAGGAAGTGGCGGAAGTCCTGCGGGCCGCTGTGCCCTTCGAAATGTACGATACGCAATGACGCGTGACACTTAAATCAGAAATTTTTGTCGTTATCGTAAATCGTTTCCGGTTTTTGATATTTTTTGCTGGTTGTTTGATTTCATAACTTCGTATTTTGAACAAATTCTTTAATTATTTAATGATTAGTCGAAAATTGAGATGTTTAGGAGGTACTTTAATATTTTTTGCATTTTCAAGATAAATTCGTTCTATTCTTAAAATAAATTCTTTAGGTTTGTTGTTTACGTATAGAAGTATAGGTAGTTGAAGTTTTTAAACCGTATAAACCAGGGAAAAACATAATTTAATTCATGGATAAACAGAACGGATTTCGTGAGTTTTCACTTAAAATTGGCGAAAACTTGATTGCCGTTAACTGTTTTTGCTCTTTAACTTATTTGTTTTATCAGAGCGGAAGAGCACAAGAACAGCCACAAAAAGAGCGTCCTCCTCAATGGCTTGGAAGCCCTTTCCGACGTAGAGGCCGCTGAACTGATCATCGGCGAAGCACGCCGTCTGGTGGAAGCCGATCTGGAAGCGGACGGCTTAGTGATCATCGCCAAACAGCCGAAAGACCACCCGGCCATCCCGGCGACCGTCACCCAACGCGCCACGACCGCCGCCGCCGAGTACGACGAGATCCGGTCCACCCAGATGGAGGCCGACCAGCCCCTGGACGAGGTCATCCAGGACACCAAACGCCGGCTAACCCAGAAGCTCTCCCCCTCCAAGCGATCCCCGGCGGTCTCCCCGTCCAAATCCCGCTGGATCCCGCCGGATGTGCTGAAACAGGAGACGGCGGAGATCCTGCAGCGCATATCGGATCCCAATCTGGCCATCAGTTCGTGCTCGTCCAGTGAGACGGAGGAGATCCCGGCGATCGACGACCTGTACACCACCCCGCGGGTGCAATCCAAATACGACCCGGAGTTCCAGCAGTTCCGCGATAATCTCTCGTCGGCGTTGAAACGGGCGCAACGGACAGCGGAGAAGACCGCGGTGAAGGATGCGCCGGAGTGCGGATTGACGCCGCATCTCTTCAGCACCCCGCGGACCAAACGTCCATTGGAGGATGAGGAGGAGACGGCGACCAAGCGGAAGTTGTTCCGGGAAGAAGTCAAGAGCCGGATTCAGTTTGATATCGCGGAGATGGATGACGATGCCGATGTGATCCCGTCATCATGCCCTCCTTCACCGGAACCGTTGATCGCGTCGGATATACTGGAAGATTGTGATTTCGTCATTCCCGCGGGGGATGTCCGGGAACCTTTTGAAATTGAGGACGTTCCCAACACCGTGGAGGGTTTCCAAGGGTTTCTGGAGGAGTGGAAACAACAGACGGTGTTCAGTCTGAGCCTGGGCTGCGAGAAACTGGACGAGGGGAGGAAACCGAGGATCGGGCCGCCCGGGCTGATGCAGACCACGGTGGTGAGGGAACCCGCCGGGGTGGTGGTATCCAGTGACGGGATGATGGTCGTGGGGCTGGCGGTGTCGTGGAGTGGGAAGCGTGCGCGGTATGTCTCGCTGGTGGATCGGGAGAGGTCCCAGAGCGCCCTGGAGGTGACAGCGGTGGAGATGCCGGCGTGGCAGCGGGTGGAGCGGGTCAAGGAGGTCCTCGGGGGTCTGCAACGGGGAGTGGTGATTCTGTATGATAGCCGCGCTCAGCTGAAGGTGCTGGGGCAGGCGTTTGGAGCGGGGTGGACGGGGGTGACGTGTCTGGATCCGCAGGTGGGCGATTGGATGCTGGATATGGGCGCCGGCGAGAGAAGTTTGAAAGTAAGGCAGTAATTATGGAATAAGTACAGTAGTATTTTAGGTGCTTGGGTTTTGTAATTGTAGATCCCGCATCCAAAATTTTATTAACATTTAAATGAACTTAATTTTGATGTGATTTACTGTACTGAAGTAGTAACTGATGCGAATAATTCTCCGTATTCTAGAAATATATTAATGGACTCTACCGAGTCCTGAAAAAGCAGCACGATGATCTGAAATAATAACCGACAGTGTATTGTGAATTTATTTATCGTCACAACGCCGGTATGGCTGGTGGCTAGAGTAGTGAATAAAATCAATAAATCCGAGATGGGTAAAATTAGGTTGGTTGGCAATAACTGTTAAGGTCGCGCGGTTAATTACAGGATTTAATGAGCGAGCATCTGCCGCTGGTTGGGGACGTCCTCAACGAACTCACCAAATTTAAACGCCCCACCAGCCTGGGATTGGCCATCCACACCCGCGCCTCCGCCCGCACGCGGTCCACCTGCGAAGCCGTCGCGGCCCGCCTGCTCCTCGGGGAGATCCGGAAGAAGCTGGAGCTGCGGGGTCTGTGGGAGGAGTTTGTCCGCGTGGAGATGGGCATGGTGCGCTGTCTGCTGGCGCTGGAGCTGAACGGGTTCGGGGTGTCGGTGGAGGAATGCCAGCGGTTGTTGCGAGTGGTCAGCCAGTTGCTGGAGGAGATTCAGCAGCGAGCGATACAGTTGGTCGGGCCGGAGTTTGTCATCACGTCGCCGCAGTCCGTCGGGCAGGCGCTGTTCGAGACGCTGCGGCTGGTTCCGCCGGAGGGGCGCGGCAGGAACGGCGGGTGCGGGGACGGCTGAATGTGCGGTATTCCACTGCGAAGGAGGTTCTGCTGAAACTACAAGTAAGGCGAGAATATCGCTGATCTTTTGGCAGTGCTCTCTACCTTTTCTATATTGGTTTCGTATTTTTAGCGCAGCTTTGGTTACGTCTCATTTATTTCGATTTATAATTCTCACAACTGCAATCAGACGCTACTCCTTTAAATTTAGATTGAAAAATCCAGTCCAAAACATCCAGTGCCGTCTTTTAGCGTTATAACGCGGTTTAATGGGTTGTAAAAACCGTTCAAGCTTTAATTTACCAATTAAAACCGTTCCCAAGCTTGAATATACCAATTAAAACAAGCAGAAAGTATTGTAAACTGCTTACTTGTACAGAACGCCTATTTTTAACGATCTTTTTACGTACTAACCTCTTCGTTTAGTTTAATAATTGGTTATATTGATATTTTATTAGCAGATGGCTGCGTAATTCTGCAATATGTAACAAACAGTTCGCTGGTATACTTTGACAGATGAAAATGCAGTCGATTTGTTTAACATTAAATTCCCCGTTGAGGTAAATAATGAAACATTGAAATGTAGCCGCATGCAGAATCATGTACCACATAGTGTATTGCAGTTTGCTGCGATATTGGCACCATGTACACTTTCTGTTCGCTCGTTTTGCAGAATGCCCATCCGCTGCCGGGACTGGTCTCGCAGCACCGCAGTCTGGACTACTCCCGTTCCAGCTACATTGAGCCGGTGATGAAAGCCGTCACGGAGTGCGCATTTCTCAAGATGCAGCGCATCCACGGCTTCTCCTGTCCCTTCTCCGTGACGGGACGCATCTCCATGGCCGAGCCCAGCCTGCAGAGCATCCCCAAGGACTTCGGGGTGGACCAGTGGGACAGTGTGTCGCAGGGCGGTCAGAAACGGGAGGCCAAGCTGGCGGTCAGTCTGCGCACGGCGTTTGTCGCATGTCAAGGTGGGCGTTAATTGGGCACTTAAATAATTAAGGAAAATATGTGTGAATAATCATTTTTTAAAACGTTTTGTTGTAGGTTGTGTTTTGTTGTCGGCGGATTATTCACAGTTGGAGCTGCGCATTCTGGCGCATTTAGCCAATGATACTGCTCTGATCTCGGCGCTGTCCAGCGGTGGCGATGTATTCCTGAATATCGCTGCTAGTTGGAAGAAGATTCCCGTCAAGGACGTCACGGAAGACTTACGACAGCAAGCTAAAAGGGTAAGTACGGTGTAGTAGCTTGATGCGTAGTAGTTAGTACTGGTTACAGGAAAAGATGATTAATTTCAAGATGGGCGATGTGGCGCTTTAGCGACAGATGCTGATGAAGCAAAATTAACGAAGCAAATTAATTAACGAATGCAGCAAAATTAAAATTTATTGAATTGAAGAGCGTAGTGTCTCGCGTTTGCAGTTCTTGGTAATTACTCGTATTTTGAGGGATATTGCCTAATAAAATTGATTATGATAGGAAGCATTATTTTGTTGTAAAATTAACGTTTTTCTTCGTAAGGACTGTTATTGATTTATAACCCTCATTTGGGCCGGTTTGTTCTGGTTGCAGTAATACGTTTTCACTACCGTATGCTTTACTTTTTTGTTGTCGGTGTTACTTATTGAAAAACTTGCCGTGTATCGCAGATTTGTTACGGCATGATCTACGGCATGGGCGCCAAAGCCCTCTCCGACCAGCTGGCCGTGTCCCCCGCCGATGCCGAGCACTTTATGGCCACCTTCAAATCCGCCTACCCCGAGGTGCGCCGCTTCATGTCCACCGTGGTGGACGACTGCCGACACACCGGCTACGTGCAAACGCTCTCCGGCCACCGTCGCTACCTCCCCGACATCCACAACCTCTCCTGCTTCGACAAGCGCTCCAGCGCCGAACGCCAGGCCGTCCACACCACCGTCCAGGGCTCGGCGGTCAACGTGGCCAAAGCGGCATTGGTAGCCATCGAGCGGGAGTTACAAGACCGCTTCCCGGGGCGGGTGTGGCATGATTTGAACGACGGGAGGGTGGGGTTGCGCGGCGCCTACCTGGTCAGTCAGCTGCATGATGAGTTCATCCTGGAGGTGGTCAAAGAGGATCTGCGGGCCGTCGCCAGGGTCGTAGAGCGGGCCATGCGGGAGACGGTCCGCCTGCGCGTGCCCCTGGAAGTCAAGATGCGGGTGGGCGAGAGTTGGGGCACCATGCGGCCGTTTGTGTGATTTTTTTTTATCAGGTATTTCGTTGGCATGTTAGGATTTAAATTATTATTTTTCGTTTAAAAGTTTTTGCGTTCCCGTTGTTATGGCGTTAAGATTTTGCCAGTGTGCATGCTTTAAAGTATTTATTTTTCATATTTTCAACCCGGCTTTGCAAAAGACATGTGCTTGAGCAGCTGGAAATCAGTGCCCGGATGCATGTGAATATGTATTTGCAGAACGTCAACAAATTTTGGTTGAAAATAGAGAAGTATGGTACAGGCCGTTCGTTAAAAGCAACCTGGTAGTGAAACTCAACGTAGAAGAATTCCAGTACGTACTTTACGCCGTCTCATGCTCGACTAATGGATGTTGGTTAATCAGATTAAAAAAGGCTGTTCTCTTCAACGCCTCCTCATCGGCCGATTAACCGATATTGGCTGCGGGAATCCTGGTGTCAGTGAGTTTTCCCATCTTAGTGCGACATAAAAACGCATCTTCGTGCGCTGGGTACTACAGTGCGTAGTATACCTTTTTACATGCCTTTTGCATGATAATTCCCTCGAATTATATATCGCTTTATCATGGATTTACGGATTAGAACCCGCCGCACGATTTACGCCGCATATTGGCTCAGTTAACCGTGTGCGGTGGCGCAGCGCACCGGCATCTGGATTTTTTATGCTTTTCCACCCACCAACCGCGATTTCCTACCGGATCAGTCGCAGATGCTGCCGTATATGCAGTCGGTTTTCAAAAACGAGAGCAATTAGGACATGTGGGCTGTGCATGTTGTAATTATTCACCGTAAGTATATGGCATAATTATGTTGTTGAAGCCATACAACATAATTATGTTATACATGTATTCCGCGAGAAACGGTATGTAGCTATCTAATTTTTCTCTGGGCAAGCGTGCTTGTTAAAAGCTGTCTCGCTAAACTCTGAAATTTCAAGTGGCACTCACAAATTGTATTGTGGTTTAAACATACACTGATCGATGGATGACGTCAAATTAGCCGCTGTCCCATGGCCAGTGTCCGCATGCTGATGCACATCAAGTGGACTTCGTATTACATACGTAAAAAGAGATACAGAGTTGATATAATGTTATTTGGCATTTTTAGTTTTACGAAATGTTAGTATACTCGTACAGTTAAAAGCCTAGACCTGATAGAATACACACGTACATAGACTGGAGAAGCTCTGAAATAACGATTCATTTCCAGGTCAGTACTCAGTCACTATTAAAGATTTTTTTCGCGAAAAATAATCTGCGAATGCAGCAAATTTTGTGGGGCTAACCCTCTTTACTGTCATAAAACTGATCTCTATATAGATAGCGTAGAGGAGTAACAATAGCAATGGCGTGTGTGACAGCTTCTTTTTTTTGTTTTTGCTTTGATTTACAAGAATGACCTTACCATGAAGCCATTTTTTAATTTGGCTGCTGACTGCGGGTTATTGTTACGGTAAAATTGCATTAATTTAACACATGTCAATTCATAGTATACAATTATTTCACTATTATTATATCGCATTGGTTGTGTCATCGTAAAGGTTTAACTTTTATAATTGTGGTAAACACCCAATATGAGTTGTTTCTTTTCCATTTACAGGATTCTGAATATGTAGCGGTTTTTATTTGGCAGCAGCCAGTGCACAGCATGTTCACACTACTTAAAGTAATAAACTGAATTCTGGATTCTGAATGTTGAATGGCTGTTGTGAGTCGCTTGTACATTCGGTAAATATACAGTATCTACAAACATAATACAGTTCAAATAATGGTGTACAATTCCACTGCAAGCAATTTTGCAAACAATTCCACTTCCATTGCAATTTGCAAGCAAATAATTCCATATATCTGTCTTGATGTCATGAGCCCATATTAAAACCCTGGGATTAATTAATGCAAACACAGCTGACGTTACACTTGTACTCTGGTATCTCAATAATGCAATCAATTAGCAATCTGTGAGGATATCTGCGTGTGGGGATTGTGCAGCTGGTGGCGATGACTGACATACGAGCATCATAAGGTATCCCTATTAACAACGTTTCAGTCCATATTATTTTCAAGCTTCGGATTTGTCTTTCTGTGGATGTGAGCAGTATCAGTTGTGCCTCTGTATCATCCAAACTAGAAATGGCACCGGCTTGTCGGTTTCGCAGCATGTTGTTCGTATGGCTGTTTTTTGGGCTGATTTTTCAATCAGATTGCTGGTTTAACAGCCTGATGGCAGTGGCCTCCATGCAAAGTTTCGAAACTAACAACCCTGACCCTGCCAAGGCTCATCCACAAGGTGCCTCTCCTGAAGACCTGTCTTGTAAGTTTTTGTTCGAGATTCAGCGCAGGTGGTGCGTGGCACTGCGTGCTCATGTTCAGTATTTGCTGTTCCAAATTTCACCTGATTCAAATGAATCTTCAAAGTTCTAATTTTACTCACTATGTGTGCAAACATAAAGACCGACTTTACTGCTAAGCAGCAGCGCTTAAACAGCTAGACTTTTGGTAATTTCGCTCTTTCAGACAATTTCCGTAGCGTTAGAAACAGTTACCTGTCATTCACGATCTTCCTGAACTAATACTGGCCTAATACTGGTCTTTATACTTATATTTGGCGTGCTGTTTGCAGTGCTGACATCTGTTATGGATGCCGAACGACTAGCTCAACACAGCGTCGTCATCTTGCCGCATCCAACGGCCATGCAGCATAACCCTGACTCCAAGACCGGCGCAGAGCGACCCCTGATTGGCCAGCGCCTGATCCTGACTTGCCGCGTCGGCGACCCTCTGGCGACAATGTTGGGTGACATTGTGTGGACGCAGAGAAAGCCATTCGTCCTAGCGCATTATATGTACAAGAGCTGGCGAAACGTACGGCCGGACATCAGTGCGATCGGCCACGGTAACAGCCTGGACATAAGCAATGTCACGCACAACAGCACGGGAACGTACACCTGTTACCAACGCTGCCCAGCGACGTATCTCTGTCCGCTGCGGTCCTTTACGCTGCTCCCCCAACCACGGGACATTAGCGACATCTTCGAGAAGCCCCTGGACATCTCGCTGCTGCATCCCCATCGGCAGTTTTCCGCCACGTGCTCGCTGCAGTTTGAGTGCTCGCCGGATGCCGATGCATACTTTATCTGGAAGTACAACGGAGCATTTATATCGGCGCCGAGTCGTCATTTTCTGCACAAGCTGGACAAATTATTTTACAGTTCATTTGTGCAAATTACCGAAGCGAACTACCAGTCGGAGCTCGGGGAACCACCGTATTGTGCCCAGACGATCACGGTCTTTTGGTCAAAACCACACAGCGGCGGACAAATCGAGTGCTGGGCGCGGTCTGACACCGAGCAGGAAACGTGGTTCATTCAACGGGGAATCGTGGCGTTCTGATGCAGTGCGATGGTCGTTATTGGAGCCGGAGGCATCAATGGTCAACCTCCAACAACTTTCAAGGTTCTAACCGGTCTGTTTTACATTGCACTCCGTAGCAGTTTTTTGAAGCACCAGTCTTGTTGCAGTGTCGTTTTGTTCGTGCTGTGCAAAATTCTTCTGTTTTTCATTCGTGCTCTACAGAGAAACGTTTAATTAGCATCAGGATTTT